ATGGGCACATCCGACAGTCGACACACTGCGCAATGGATTCCGATATAGCTTGGCTGATGCTGGCTTTGTGTCTTCGAACGAACCATTGAAAGGGAGGACGTCATTTTTAAAGGTTGTTAGGTGCACTCAAACGTTTTAAGATAAGCAACTGCTGATTGAATTTCTGGCGAGGGTTGGTGGAACGCTCTGTTTACAAATGAGTATCTACCTACCTAGTACCTACTATACCTGCAGTGGCAAATAACTGGGTCGCGGTCAGTTAGGCATGATTCACGAAGTCCCTTATCTTTTATTAGACTTATTAAGCCCAATGTGCAACATTTGCGTCTTTTCGCGTTGTATCGGGTAGCAAATGAGAAAATCTGCTTCTTCTCCACAGCCCTCAATTCAAGAAACCGTCCTTTTCCTTATCGCATCATTCCAGAACATAATTTTCAAACATGGGTATCTTCCCCACAAAAAAAAACTGAAGCAGTTTCCTTCGGCTCCAATGCGCCGCTCGCCCAGGGAGACGGAAGTGTTATATTCTCGGCGGTCCAGTCTGCATTCTGCAGCACACTCAAACTTGGCGGACCCCCAGCGCACGACTGAACGATTCGTATTGTTGTGAGTGACTGTGACAATTCACTGGTGGTTTCGGAATAATTAACAGGCGGCGCAGCCCAGTGCTTCTTACAATGAATTACAGTGGCGAATGCACTATTGCAGAGAAGAAATGGATTGAGCAGATGCCCAACCTCGCTGTATTATCAACTAAACATTAGATACGCTTTACATTTTAATCAGGCAATCATGTAAACAAACGACTTGCGAGTTGCGACCCTTCCGCCTTACATAACTCGGCAGAATGCCCCTGAGTCGGCTAAACTACACTGCATCTCTTCGAACCTTAAGTATTTTACAATTTACCACTCAGCTATGCAACAGGCTTATAATTCACTGCTCAAGTCTCAACCCCTTTTTCCCTATCATCTTTTTGGCACCGTCAATCGCCATCTGCGCTGCCCACTGTCCAGCAAATAATCCGGCCGTCTCCAGTTATCTGGCAGGGGCTTCCAAACTCAAGCGAACTCGCCGAAGTTTCGCCATTCAATGCGCAGGATCTGTACAATTGAGTTTGAGAGCCTCTGGGTTGGCTCGGCGCGCCTGCGCCGCGCCGTTGGTCCGGCCAAGTACGCGAGTGACGTCATGCTATAAGCGTCATCCCCCGACCAAAGTCACCAATCAGAGCCCTAGAATCGACTTGTAGTTCCACACTTAGGTAACTCGCGTCCGGCCGGCCGCACCGCCGGGCCCGGCCCCGTCCGCGCTCAGCGAGGGCTGCGGCCGAGTTTTGGGCGGGATGGAAGCCCTCCCAGCTGAAGGGCAGCTTGGCTTCGGGAAGGAATGATTCCTGACTCCTGTGAGGTCGGGATTAGGGAACGGGCTTCAAGTGGACAAACATCTGGGGGCTGGGCGGACTCCTGAGTTTGGGTGGGACGATGACCGGCGGCTAGGGATGGGCGGTGTGGGACGATGCCCTGTCTGGGGTGTGAGGAGAGGGAGCGGGTGACGTCAACCTGCCGGTACGACGACGGCACCGCTTTCAGCCGGCGCGGCCCGACCGTGTTGACGGAGGCCAGCGGCGGTTCCAGGCGGCCAGGGACGGCCGGCGCGGCTGAAGCAACTGGGACTGCCCGCGCTGGGTCTGTATAGCTACCGGAACAGACAGAGTTGGAAGGTGTTTGAATGGAGTGGCCCTCTGGATAACACTTTTCCTTGCTCGTGTCTTGTGGTGTTAATGAGGAAGATATATCGGAATAAGCATGCATAAGTTGGATTCTGGCTGGATGTGGGAGACGGGAGAATAAATTACCGTAAGATAAATTATTTCGTCTTTTCAATCTTCACAGCAGTCTGTCGGTCATCTTTTGCGCCACCCACTCGCGCTCCTTTGAATATCTTTTTGCCGGGAACTGCTGTTCGTCTCACGCTTTGATCTCTCCCTCCGAAGTGAAGGGCTCCTCTCACGGCTGTCTCGGGCCGTGCTGCCCTCAAAGGTGCCGGTCTGGGGCGGGTGGGCCGATGCGCTCTGAGAGGCACAGAGCGGCAGACCTCACCCTGCGGCCGCCGTGCTCCCGGTCCCCGCCCCCCCCCCCCCCCCCCAGCCGTTCTCTGCACGGCCGAGTGGCGTCTGTCACTGGCTGAGACGGCCGGCTGGGAGAGCAGGGCGCCGCGCCGCGCCGCTCCCCTCCAGTGCGCCTCACGCAGCCGCGGCGCCGGAGGGCCCGCAGCCCGCCCGTCAGGTGCCGAGAAATGGGGTTAAACAAATGAGCTTTACGAGCCGCCGCGGAACAGAGTGATGTGTGAGACGCTTCCGGGGAGTGATTTGGGACGGGAGGCTGCTGTCGGCGTGCTGGACGTCAGCGGAGACGACTGACCACTGCCTGGGGCTAGCCTTTGAGGTGGTGCTGGTATCTTGTTGCAATGCCCCACATATACGCCATTCAAAACCTCGCAATAACATTGTCGAAGCTTTAGTTTTGCTTACCAAGGACATGGGCAGATGTGTTATTTGGTGTTCGTTCATGATTTAAAGTTGAATCAACAAAGTCATTTGTAGTTTAATTGAAGTTTTCCAGTATAATGCCACCGTTCGATGTAGGAGGCCTCCGGTTGCCACCGCGGGCGGGGGCTGTGGCATTTCCCGTCGGTGCCTCAGCCTCCTGAAATAGACGCCATCTCACCGCTGACCGGGCTATGTTTCATCGGCGCCCCCTCTCCCCTCTCCTCGTCTCCCCGTTCTCCGCCGCCCGCGGCGTACACCGGTCGTATATACCTGTGAGCCGGGTCAGAGCCGACCCCCCCCCCCGCCCGCCCCGGCCCGTACGCGGCGGTCAGTTTGTTTGGACGGCGCCGCGGCGTCGCAGGTGGTCTGACGGCCGACCCAGAGCGGCGGGTACTGCGTGCGGTCCGCCGCAGAGCGGTGGTGACCTGTTGGGTATGCTGCGTGCGGCCCTCCGACGGCCGGTGGAGAGTGACAGGCCACGCACCGGGCGCAGAGAGTCGCAGGGCAGCGGTGACGATGGGGAGTTCACTACCATTGCGGAACTATATTAAATGGGACAGTGATCTAATCCGGCCTTATCGACCCCCTATACCTGTCTAAATAATTGAAAGGAATAACAGTCGTAAAAGCGCTCATTGAAAGCACTATTAAGAATTAGCGGATAGCGCGGTTTTACATAGCACGCGGCTGGCCGTGCGGGGTCGCAGCGTTGTTGCCCGCTGGTGGCAGTTACTGGCTATTGTTGATAGCCGCCAGGTCGCTGGCGTGTTTGCCGCGGCTGCACGTCGGGCTTGTTTGTCGAGTCAGACCGACCCGGTGCAATTCACTGCGCCCGTTTGCCCGGCTGATTAGCACCTGTGTGCCGGAGGATGGAAAGGCCCCGGGTACACGGCGGGGGCCGGCATTGTTGGAGCAGAGTCGTCCGACGCTGCTGGTTCCGTTCAAAGCCGGTGTTGGCGGAGTGCCACTTCAGCAGCCGCCGCACTATTGCCACCCAGTCAGTGTGTGCATAAAGGATGTTGCGAGCGTTAGTATCATCGCCACCGAATTACATACAGCAATATGCCCGTGGTGACATTGAAGTGTCCGTTATCAGCGCGGAGGCGCTAATTTCGCCGCTCTAGCGTCACTGTCCCGACAGGCGCTCCGTCAGGGGCCGAGCGGGCCGGCCATTTGGCAGCCTGGCCGGCGGCGCCGACAGCCCCCGCCCCCCCCCCCCCTCCGCCTCTGTGTGGCCGTCCCAGGGGCGGCAGCGGTCCTATGGGGAATGGAGGGCGCAGGTGGGGCGCGATCCGACCGGCTGACCTGGCGGGGTCGGTGGCTGCGTCTGGCGACCTGCACACTGCGCGTGAAATGTTGGACCGGGAGACCTGGCCCGGCCTGGCTCCTGAGAGGAACAGAGCCCGTCTGTCGGAGAACGGTGTGTTGTTTCAGACACCGTCACTCATCGCTCATCGCTCTTCGTCATCGCTCTTCACTCATCGCTCTTCGTCTGACGTCGGCGCGTGCGGTCGACATTGAACCTCTAGTCGGGGCGGGGTTTTGTTTTATGATAAGGGAAAATAGTTAACGTAGGCATGATAATAGCGGAAAAAGGAGTAGCTAATTCGCTAATTCGCATCATTATTCGCCAGCGAATAATGATGAATATTCATAAACTAGATTGTGATGCAATGCGTGCGTCTGGCGCACTGCGGGGCAGTCTATGTATACGGTGTTCAGTGTACTGCGGGACAGTCTACATATACGGCGCCTGGTGTACTGCGGGGCAGTCTATGTATACGGCGTTCGGTGTACAGCGGGACAGTCTACATATACGGCGTTCGGTGTACAGCGGGACAGACTATGTATACGGCGTTCGGTGTATTGCGGGACAGTCTACATATACGGCGTTCGGTGTACAGCGGGACAGTCTATGTATACGGCGTTCGGTATATTGCGGGACAGTCTACATATACGGCGCTTTGTATGGTGTGTGTAAGGCGGCACAGTCTAGGCATACGGCGTTCGGTGTTTTGCGGTACAGTCTACATTTACGGCGTTCCGTTTATTGCGGGACAGTCTATGTACAGTGTACACGGCATTCGGTGTACTTCGGGACAGTCTATGTCTACGGTGTTCGGTGTGCTGTGGGGCACCCTATGTATACGGCGTTCGGTGTATGTACATTGTAGTACATACTGCGGGACAGTCTGTATATGGCGTTCTGTTTGGTGTATTGCGGTACAGTCTATGTTTAAGGCATTCTGTCTGGTGTGTTGCTGGACAGCTTACATGCGCTCATCGAGCACCAAAGCGAACGGCGTGTGTAGTACACACTTTATTGGGTGCAGTGTCGGAGATTTTATGCGTTCTGGTCAATTTGATTTATACCACCCAGCGCTCCATGAGCCCTGGCTGAATAGACTCTGCATTTCTCTATTCGTGACGGGTTTGTTGCTTTCGTTTTCAGAGCCGAGAATGGGTGGAGCTGAAGGTACTGGAGATGAGCCCGGAGCTGACCCACCTGGGACACAGCCTGGAGGAGGCGCAGCTGCTCCAAAAACAGCACGACGAGGTGCTGCAGAAACTTGCGGTAAGGAACGCTGGTCTGCAGGTGCTACAGAAACTCGCGGTAAGAGCGCCCCCGGCCGCCGCGGTGTGCTGTGTGTAGCGCACAGGTGCGGTGAGTGCCAGCTGGGCAGGGTCGACACCGCCGTCTAACGGCTGTGCTGCGGCTGAACACGTGTAGAACTAGATACACTGAGCTCTGCCGGGCTGGTGAACTTTGTGTATTGACCAGTCTAGTTTATTAATCGGGAAGGTAAAATAAAGGCCTGTGTGACGCGGGAAAGCAGCAGCGAGCATCTATCTGTAAATAGTAGCAACTCTTTGCGTTGTTTTCAATTGCTACATTGCGCCTATGTAAGTGCGGCATTGTTCTGAATTCAGAGATGATGCTCCTATTTTTAATACAGTCACCTGTTTTATTAACACTGGATGCATCACCCTCTTCTTTGTGCTGTCTCAAAACTGGGCGATAACTCGAGGTTCAAAGGAGGCCTATGCAGTGTGCAGCCTGTGTGACGGCTGGGCCGCGGATGGTGAGACGGCGTCCACTGAGCCCACCGGTCACCCCCTGCCGGCGCGGACGGCTGCGCGGCATTCCTGACCCAGCCGGGGCCGGCGGCGGCGCCAGGAGCACGCCCCCGCCCCCGCCCCGCCCGGCACAAGATGGGCCGGTATAAACAGACGGCGCAGCTCCCGGCGAGCTGGCGGAGCCTTTACACCCTCACAGCAGGCCTGAGAGGGACCAGCTCCGGGCAGTGGAACTGAGGACGACATATGATGTGAACTATGACGGTGCAATGCAGCTCTGCTGTCAGTTCTAAAAATGAGCTCATAGCAATTCCCAGTCACTGCCTGCCTGAGGTTAGGCCATTACTTATCTCATGAAATTTATAAACAACTGACTCATAAACCCTCGAATCACATTTTTATAAGCACGCCTAGAACGGAAAGTGCAAATATTGATGCAGCCGTCTTATTTTTAGAGGTCTCAGAGTTATGTTCACGAGTTGGGTCGGAACAGTTCGCCGCCGGCAGCCCGCTCTGTTGGCCGCCCCACGTCTCCGCCGCCGGACGCTGCGGAGGCGGACCGATTTCGTAATGGTCGCTCGGTCACCGTCTGTCGTCTGGGACGGCCTCATTGTCGCAGGGTGTCGATGTGTTGACGCATCACAGTCCGGCCGACCGCCGGGGCACATTGCTGGGTGACGCGACTGAGTCTGTGACCCGACTGTCAGAGTCGGGCTGGGCAGTGTTATACGGCTGTATGAGGGAGTAGGAATTAAAATTAAGAACTCGCAAATGGCCCTACTCGATCTTAATTCTATTTTTAAATGTCATGTGGGTCATTGCTTATGGTATCCCTATCCTTATGCTTCTCGGTTATTATGACTTTGAATTTAAACAATTTCAGTTCATAAATCTACCGGAGTTCCGGCGCCGTGACATGTTTTGGCACGCATATCATCGCCTTCAGCCACTGCCACTGTCGCCGTCGCGCTGGGCTGGGCGGCTCAGGGGCGCTCACACCCGTCCAGTGGTTCGGGGCGGCGCGCCGCCCATCCAGCCGTGGTGAGGCGCTCGCCTCGAACACGGGTTCGCGCTGCGCGCCGCCGCACGTGCCGCACGTCGGGTGCCGTCCGGTCTCCGTCATGTCAGCTGCCTAACCTGTGAAGACGTGCCGGCGCTACAGTAACGCCCGGGCACGTGCGGCCCTTCCGCTCCCTCCGACACACGCAGCTGCAGAGTGCGGACCCGCTGCAGGCGCTGTGAGCGGCTCATTCATCGGGGCGCGTCGGCCAGCTTCCCAGAATACGGCTGAACCCATTCTTACGCTGCTTGGGTGCAGTTTTCATTGCTCCAGTTTAAATGTGATTTGATACGATTGCACGAGTGTGATTTTCTGTACATACAGTTCACTCTGTGATTGTCTCCGTGAGGCGGTCTTGTCTCCTCCAACTAAGGCGCTGCATCCGGTGTGGGGCGGGGCGGGGCGCCGCCGGCCGCGGCCCGGTCGGTCCATATACACACACCGGCCGGAGCGTGTGTTTGTTAGCGCTCGACCTCTCCTCTGTTGATCACCTGTCGGCACAGACGTCTCCTCCCCGCCGCTCTCTCCGACTCTCTCTCTCTCTCTCTCTCTCTCTCTCTCTCTCTCTCTCTCTCTCTCTCTCTCTCTCTCTCTCTCTCTCTCTCTCTCTCTCTCTCTACCCTCTCTCCCATCCAACGGTAGGGGGCAGGCAGAGTAGAGCATACTGATCACAGGAAAGTAAGTTCAGTTCGCCGACAATGTTTTGACCACTTTCATAATGCCTCCTCAGACGCTACTAGCTACGAACTTTGATGGGGCCTGATAGCATCTTACGCAGGTGTCAGGTTTTTGGACTCGGAGGGAATATTGACGTGCACCTCTCTACGCCGGCGTTATTCTGGCTCCCCTGAGCGCGCCGGCCGGCAGTGGCGGGCCACGGCGGCTGCTAATCACAGTCGCCGGTAATTGCCGTGACCGCAGCACCTCTCTGCCGGGCTGTTGGAACTCTGATGAGTCCATCGGCGCGGCGGCGGGCCTCCTCCGGCCGCCGATCTGGTCCGGGCAGAGCTGTCGGTAGTCCGGGACTGTCGGCCCATGCCGTGTCTGGTCCGCTCGACTACTGTTAACGCCAGACCCCTTGAGACCCTAATTTTTCGCGATTACTTTTAAATGCGTGAAGGAATTTCAACCAAGCTCAGGACATGGCCGTTTTAAGACAGGCCGAAACTTTTACAATTTAGATATTTTATCGCCATTTCAATATTTCAGGCACTTGTCATTGACTCGTAATGTTAACTGTTTTTCCATCCTGGATAGAGGCTTTCTACGTCATATGACATTAGGCTCCGCCCACGACTGCGGCATTGACCCGTGCCCATCAGCGACCTCTGTACAAACGACACCCCTGCCATCTGTGAAGGACTATGAATTTCGCTGACGCTTCACGTGCTATGAGTCAATTGCAGCAGACGGTCAAGTAAATGTTAGGCTCTTGTTGACTCTTGTATATAGGACCAAGAGGACCATCACTCCTCAACCTACTACTCAGTCGTGCTTCGAACAAACGTTAACGATTCCTAACAAATACGATTTTCGATGTAGGGTATCTGTTTGAAATACGAGCGAGCCGTATGATGTGAAGCTCAGGCAATTAACTTATTATTGCGTTGTTCGATGGTTGCATAGCGATGTACAAATCGGCAGCTACTTGGTGACATCCGACATCCCATTATCGCATTATCTGCAACGCCATAGGCTTTAAATACAGGTGAATATTTCCTGACCCTACATGTCAGTTATATGCCATCTGCCCGTCATTTGCAGCTTATAAAAAAAAATATATCAGCGAACATATCAGCATTGTAGAAGCAATGCGCATTGAGCATTTATGACTCCTTAGTCATCATGTCGCTCTCTGGGCACTGTCAGCCAAGACGCTACGCACAACTCCGCCGGCTTTCGGCACCGCTCGACCGTCGCCCGTCCCCGCTCCCCGCCACAGCGAGAGTGACCGCGCGCCGGCCCGAAACCGCCGCAGGCCAAGACCACAGAGGCGGGGCTTAGCTGTGACGTCATAACGTATCACAGACTGACTGGTGATAGCCTCTACACACCGGATGAAAATCTTGCTCGAAATTTAACATTACGAGTCAATGACAAGTGCCTGAAATATTGAAATGGCGATAAAATATCTAAATTGTAAAAGTTTCGGCCTGTCTTGAAACGGCCATGTCCTGAGCTTGGTTGAAATTCCTTCACGCATTTAAAAGTAATCGCGAAAAATTAGGGTCTCAAGGGGTCTGGCGTTAACAGTAGCAGGCCTGTCTTACCGTCTGACCGCTCGGCTCGCCCGTTCTGTCCACTGTCGGGCTGACTCGGCTCTCTGCTCGTACATACCATCCTCTCTCTCGCCCGGGGCGTGGCCCGGCTCCTGGCACAGGTGCCAAGTCCCGGCGACGGACCGCCCCAGTCCCGGCGACGGACCGCCCCAGTCCCGGCGACGGACCGTCTCTGTCCCGGCGACGGACCGCCCCAGTCCCGGCGACGGACCGTCTCTGTCTCGGGTACAGTACGTCCCCTCCCTGTCCCGTCCAGTGGGTGGCTCAGTGGGCGGAGCCGGTCGCCCATCCTCTCTGACGGGACACTGTCCCAGGCCGCTCAGCTGCGTCAGTCTGATCGACAGCGGGAGCCGGGCCGGCACGGTCGGACGGATCTGATTGCGGGTTCAATACTGCAGAGCCGACTACTGCGCGGCATTGCCAGATGATCTGAGCAATGGATACTGCAAACAGTAATGCAACCGACCGGATTTGGCCTGGCAAAGTGATTCTGTTCCGGCGCGCTTGCCGCAGCCGGTCTTTGGAGCATTTCACGTTGTCGCTAGCCTGTATGGCTTCACAGATGTCTCTTGAGTGTCTCGATGACATCCATCCAATTTTGGTCCGCTCACGGTCATGCGCAATCTCACTGATCCTGTAACAGACATTATGTTTGAGCTAGCTCTGCCCTGCACGGGATTCCTTGGACTTCAATCGTAGTGCCCGGCTCGCGCTTAACCTGGCTCAATGATTTATTTGCTTGCTTTTCATGAAAGGCACCCTATGTCAACGAGCTTCGCGGTCTACCAATGAAAACTTACGCTATTTTTATTTATCCCGAAAAAAGATATAATGACTACATATGATGGCTGTCCCTGTTGGTCTCTTTGTAGTCACGGGTCGTCCCCTGACGATTTCCTCGCGCTGTCCGGCCGTCCTGTCTCCCCCGGGACGCACTGCTGCTGTGCTGTGGGAGTGTGGTCTGACCCCCCCCCCCCCCCGTCCGGCTCCCCCGGGACGCACTGCTGCTGTGCTGTGGGAGTGTGGTCTGACCCCCCCCCCCGTCCGGCTCCCCCGGGACGCACTCTGCTGTGCTGTGGGAGTGTGGTCTGACCCCCCCCCCCCCGTCCGGCTCCCCCGGGACGCACTGCTGCTGTGCAGTGGGAGTGTGGTCTGACCCCCCCCCCCCGTCCGGCTCCCCCGGGATGCACTGCTGCTGTGCTGTGGGAGTGTGGTCTGACCCCCCCCCCCCCCGTCCGGCTCCTTTCAGAGCAAACAGTCGCCGGTGGAGGAGCTGCTCAACCAGGCCGACCAGCTGATCGCCAGCCAGAAGCCCAAGGCCGAGGTGTACTCGGCCATGGCCGAGAGCCTGGGGCTGGCCTGGCGCGACCTGAACGGCCAGCTGGAAAGCCGCCGCCAGCTGCTGCAGCACAGCGTCGCCTTCCACAGGTCAGTTCCACAGGTCCCTCCCTTTCACAGGTCAGTTCCACAGGTCCCTCCCTTTCACAGGTCAGTTCCACAGGTCCCTCCCTTTCACAGGTCAGTTCCACAGGCCCCTCCACACTGCAGCACAGCGTCGCCTTCCACAGGTCAGTTCCACAGGCCCCTCCACACTGCAGCACAGCGTCGCCTTCCACAGGTCAGTTCCACAGGTCCCTCCCTTTCACAGGTCAGTTCCACAGGTCCCTCCACACGGCAGCACAGCGTCGCCTTCCACAGGTCAGTTCCACAGGCCCCTCCACACTGCAGCACAGCGTCGCCTTTCACAGGTTAGTTCCACAGGTCCCTCCACACGGCAGCACAGCGTCGCCTTCCACAGGTCCGTGGTGCCGGAGATATGATGCATGGAATGTTGTATTGTTTGTGGGCCGCCCCTTAGCGAAGTCCTCTGTTTCTGTTCATCCCCAGTCATTCCCGCAGCGCGCCGCCCGCTCGGCCGCGGCCATCCGTCATTGGTATCGTGTCACTCGTCGGCCGCCCATATGTCGCCGTCACTGCCGGGCGGTCCGGCGGCGGCCCGGCTGTTCCCGTGCTCCGGCTGTTGATGTCTGACTCAGGCGACTCGGCTGCGTGCTGGCCTTTCATCTTTACCGTGTAAATAATAAACAAAATGAAATATATTGCTAGTGATACCTCACTCCGTATCAACCACTATAAATTGTCATGCATCAACAAAACTGATGGTCTTTCCCATTCTTTCTTCCATGGATAGCTTCCGACAAGTAAGTATAGAGGCTGTCCCGTCTCATTTGTAAACACGACCAATGCAATGCAATTCAATTAGAGTAATGCACAGAAAGAGTGCTTATGACGATTTGCTTATGACCTTTTTAAATTCATCGAACTGACTTTTTACGATAAATTAGTTGCAGCGTCACGGCAGCTGTTACTTTTGTTCCTTCGATTTTGATTGGCGTCCAGTGTTCCATTGTGATTATTCATCATCCCCACGGCTTATTATTTTTGCGGTCTCCATTTAATGCCGCCCACTGAATTTATCCAGCTTTCTTTGGCCGGAGGGACGCTCTGTCGTATCGTGCCCACCTGCAGTCGCGCTGGCCCCCAGCCGCGACCCGCGGGGGAGTCCAGCGGACTGTGATGACGTCACGGACCGGGCTGCCAGACTGACCCGTCTGGCCGGCTGCCTGCGGACCATGTCGGGTGTCGCCAACAGCACCGTGATATGGCCGCACTCAGTCGGCAGCTGCTCACAATCTTACGGCAGCCCGCCGGAATGCATGTCTGTCTGCCCATCACGGACTCCGTGCATAACTCGGCGTGACGGGGAGCTCGGGAGAGACTGGTGGGGACGCAGCCCCTCGGGACTGGTCCGGACCGACCGTGACATGACGGGTGACGCTGTTAGCTGTCGCCGTTTTCCAGTCCGTAACGCTAGTAGGTTCATGTTGTATGCGAGGTGTCGATGTATCCTACAATCTGACAGTGCTCTATTTTCAGGATTCCTGTCCCATGTCTGTTGAGCAGACGGTATCCGTGCAATTTGAAAACGTTACCTGCGCCCCGTAGGGGGGGGGGCCGAAACGCCCCCCCTGTCCTTTTCCGTCGATATCTCCTAAACGGCTGGAGATATCGCCACCAAACTTTCAGGACCCCTCCGGGCATCAATTTTACACATGGTGACCAAACAGTTTTCCAGAGGCTATGATAAGTTGGCCACAAATGACGTCAGAATGACGTCATGTTCTGTCATTTTCGACCGAAAAAAAGACCTTCGCGAGAAGACCCGTCAGGCCTACAGCTTTGAAGATACAGAAAAATAATCAAGACATAAAAGGTGTAGAATTGACAGGGCTACAAAACTGCTATCTCGGATTTTTGAAATTTTTTAGTTTTGACCCCCCAAAATAAAAAATGCAGTTTTTTGGATATATTAGCCAAAAAATCTAAAAAGTTTTTTGAATTTCGAAAAAACCGGAATATATGTGATAGTACCTACCGTCTTCTATCCACATACCAAATTTCAGATCGATACCTCGTTTTTTGGCGAAGTTATGGCGAAAAAAACTGTTCAAAAATGATGACGTCAAATTTTCAAACTCAATTTTTGGCAGTTCTAGACCTCGTAGAGCAAAACAAGGACCACCATTAGACTCCCCGTGACGAGCTGCATCGAATCGATACCCATTTTATCCAAAAATATCAACTTTGAAATTTGACCTAATTTGACCTGACCTTGACCTGACCTTCACCAAAACGTGACCTAGGCTGGCCCCAAAGGCTGCCTAACCCACATAATCGCATTTTTCATGTAAAATGGACCATAAAACATGCATCACACGACACTTCATATTGTGACCCCCGGTGACCTGACCTCGCTGTGACCTGACCTGGTATGAGTGACCTCAGATAGCAAAGTACGTGTTTGCCGAACAATGTACCATCGATGGTTTTCAACAAATTACCAATTTACTCGATTTCACAACACATTTCTTGAAATGCCTGTGAACGGTGAAAATCCGACCTTTGACCTGACCTGTGACGTCATCGGTTTGACCTAGGTCAATGAAATTTGGTCACAAGATAGTTCCCGGGTGGGGCTATCGAACACCGTTTGAATTTTGAAAATCGGCCGGTAAATTTCCGAGATGTTAGGGGGGGCCGAAACGCCCCCCCCCCCCCCCTACGGGTGGTAGGGTCCGCCGGTAGCCCTACGGGGCGCGGGTTTAAGTTTACATTTACTGAATGTAATGTCACCAACAATAGCGTTTACATGTTTTTATTCGTTGTTGCAGCCGGGCGCGGAACTTTAGCGACAGCATGGACCTGGCGGAGCGGGTGTTCAGCGACGTCCGGATTCCGGCCGACTCGGAGGAGGCCCAGGCCGCCATCAAACAGCTCACCGACGTGAGTTACCTCCCTCTCACCCGCATCAAACAGCTCACAGCTGTGTGTTAACGGCCTCTCATCCTCCTTCTAACAGCTGACCGATTTGAGTTACCGGCCTCTTACCCTCCTTCTAACAGCTAACAGACGTGAGTTAACTACCAGCATCTCACAGCCCTGGCGAGACAAAAGCAAGCGATAATTACCCCCCCCCCCCTCCCCCACGGTACGTAAACCATGCGCTGGAGAGCTGGATCTGCCAGTGGAATATGGACGAGCGCGTGTTGTGGTGCACGCCATGTTGAAATCTGACCCATGCTCTGTCCTGACGCCACTGCCCTGATGTCGCAGGTGAAAAAGGCGATGCTGGAGGCGTCGATGGTGACGCTGCAGGAGGGCAACCAGTTGCTGGAGCAGCTGCGCCAGCTGGCGCTGCGAGGAACGATCGACTCCCGACCGAACCAGATCCGCACCACCGTCCAGACCGGTGAGATGTCCAGTCCTTTGGGCCTCTGGCTCGTGCGCGATATTGAATCCATCCGATCCTTCGTAATTCGTATAGGCATATGTTGCATTCAGATACACCAGTGAAGCTTGGGTGTAATGCAGTCTATGTCCAATTTTTTTTCCAATCGAGCTGGCACATTTATGTCCCTGCCGAACTGGCGTTCGTGAATTCGATAAACGCTTAAAATTTTGGTTGTCTGTAGCGAAGCAGTACTCACTCACGTACAACAATTGGCTTCGCAATCCCATGTTTTTCCTCGTGTTTGCAGCATGTAGCCAGGTGGAGCGGTGGCTGGAGGAACTGTTCGTCTGACCGTGTGTTTGTGTGTGTGTGTCTGTGTGTCCAGCCTGTAGCCAGGTGGAACGGTGGCTGGAGGAACTGTCCGTCTGACCGTGTGTTTGTGTGTGTGTCTGTTTGTCCAGCCTGTAGCCAGGTGGAGCGGTGGCTGGAGGAACTGCACGACCGACGCCGCTGTCTGGAGGTTCTCTTCAACAACCGGCGCACGATTCTGGACCAGTGCCGCGCCCTCTGCCAGCTCTACACCGACCTGGGTAGGGCGCTCTTACATATTATCGCCGTCCATCGTCCTCTTACCTCGCGGTATTGTCGCTCATTGTTTTACCACCCCTCATATTATTTGTACATATTATAAAAAAAATGTTATCCGTGAGTTCTGAAGCACCAGATTATCAGTTTCAGTATTATTATCAGTAAATTCTTAACATTTGAGTCTGCTAAGTTACGTTTTTAGCACTTGAAACTGGAAAAGTTCCTGTGTTGATATTGTTGACCCGACCTGTCGAGGTGTTGGCCCGGTGTATCCTCAGATGGTGTCCAGCACCGTTGACTTGACCGGCGTGCTGCGTCCCCAGGCGGTGTCCAGAAGCGGGCAGAGCTGGTCAGGAGGCAGCTGGCCGCCGGCTGCCAGCTGGGCGCGTCCGCGCACGCCGCCGACCTGCTGCTGCACGAACACTCCAAAATCGAACTGGAGGCCAAGGTAGGACCGCAGTGCCGCCCGCCCTCTGTGCCCCCCCCCCTCCCTCCGCCCCTGTGGTATGTGCACGACGTGTCGTCCACGTCAGTAGCCGTGAAGTTCCGTCACAAAAATGGAACAACAGTCGATACATATCTTTTTGCGACGAAAATATGTATGATGATCATTGAAGATACCTGTGCAGTTATTTTACAGGCCTAGGCGCCGTATAAATGGAGTGCTGAGCTCGGTCGCCATTTGCCGCCCTCAGACTGTGTTTATTCTATCGTATCCCACACACTGTAAGCCATGACGATTGACGGACGATTCGACTGTACGAGTGTTTATGCTCTCCTCACACTCCACCCGCCACCTCCCTCCTCTCCCTCTCTCCCTCCCACTGAATCCCCTCCCTCTCCCTCCCAGGCGCTGCTCCCTTCCCCCACTGACTCCCCCTCCCCTCGCCCTCCCAGGCGCTGCAGGACCGGGCGCTGGCGCTGCTCCATTCCCCCGCTGACTCCCCCTCTCCTCCCAGGCGCTGCAGGACCGGGCGCTGGCGCTGCTGCGCTCTGCCGAGGCGCTGGTCCGCGCCGACACATACGCCCGCCACGAGCCGGCCACCCGCGCCTACGCCGTGCTGGAGATCTGCAGCCAGCTAATGGAGCTGGCCGAGCGGCGGCGCGGCCTGCTCACCGGCGCCGCCCAGTTCTTCGACCAGGCGCAAAAGGTGACAGTCAGCGAATGAGTGGGGAGGGTGTGGGGTGGTCTAAGGCTGAAGGACTGGCCAAGAGACAAAGGGCAGAATGACAAGTGGCCTCTGCCTCTCCTGACCGCGCCTCTGCCTCTCCTGACCGTGCCTCTGCCTCTCCTGACCGCCGGCTGTCTCTGTCTGTCAGGCCTGTGATCAGCTGGACCGGATGGAGGAGGCGCTGCGCGCCGCGCCGGCCGCCGAGCGGGCGCTGGTGCACGCGCAGACGGCCGAGTCTCTGCGCTCCGCCGGCGAGCCGGCCGCGCGGCTGGGTAACCAGCTGCTGGACCTGGCCGGCCGCGGCGCCGACGGAACAGAGGTGGGACGGGGTGACGGGGTGGACTATAGGTGCTGCGCTGGGAGACGCTGATCACTGGTCCTGATGGCTGGGGAGGGTCAGTGGTCGGGTCGGTGCTTTTTCTAGTCCAATATGCCACCCCATACCGCACTGGCGACCCCATGTGACCCCACTCTCCCTCCCTCAGGGTGTGTCCGAGTGTCTGGAGACGCTGCAGCGTCGGCTGGAGGCGCTCGAGCAGCTCTGCACCGCACACAAGGAGGAGAGCCTGCGGCAGACGCAGCTGTATAACGACTTCCTCGAGAAGTACAACACGGTGAGCTATCAGTGGTCGGCATGTCGGTGTATCGACTGCACTGGTATAGTATGTGTACCTCCTTTTGTTACTACATCGTGTTAACAATTGTCTTTCGTTTCTGTTTGTCCATTGTCTTTGCATGCTGTGGACCCATAAACGCCGGTTGCCCTCACCTAATGTCATTAACCGTCCCAAATTAGCCTCGTCCCGGTAATTGCCGAGCGATGTCGGTGCGTGTCGGGGGACCGTTTGTCCTCCGATCGCGTGCCTCCCGTCCTGCCGCCGACCGGCCGCATTGGGTCCACCAGGTGCTGCCTCGGCAGTCGGGAGTCGCCGGCCCGGGACAGGGACATCTGTTATATCAGCATTAGACTCGCGTCGGATCCCCGTCAGACAGTCGCTAAACTCGTGTCAGACTCCTTATTGTTGTTATATCGCTGTTACTCCTTTCACCTCACTCTACGGTGGTAGTTGTCTCAGGGTGTGCCCATATGGACGGACAGAAACACGCGTTATTCATAAGACCACCATCTAAATGTCGATGCGTTGCGGCCTGATATGAAACAGTTTTTTTTTTGCGATGATACCCAATGTCAGTGTCCGTGTCTCCCCTCTGACCTGCCTGCTTTGTCCTCCTCTGACAGCTGTTCGGCTGGATGGTGGGCGAGGCAGAGACCTTCCTTCGGACGCACACCGACCCTGGCCAGGCGCTGGAGCCGGCCAGCACCTTCTCCCAGCTGCACCAGCACATGCAGCACGACGTCGAGGTCAGTCGCGGAGCGGCGCGGAATGGAGCGGACGGACGAACGGATAGACGGACGGACGGGGGTTTGTCCGCCACCCATTTATAGTTCGATTTGTATTTAATATATTACCCAATATTTAGTATCTGGTCCCCCGTGTGACCTGACCTGACCTGACCTGTGTCCCAGGCGCGCGGCCGTGACATGGAGGCCCTGCTGGACTCTGTGTGACCTGACCTGACCTGACCTGACCTGTGTCCCAGGCGCGCGGCCGTGACATGGAGGCCCTGTTGGACTCTGTGCCGGCCCTGTCGGAGCAGCTGGGCGCCGAGAGAGCGGCCGACCTCCAGCGGAAGGCCGAGGACATGCGCGCCCAGTGGAACAGCATCTACAGAATCATCAGTGAGTGGCGCTCTCAGGCACACCTATTTTCCGACATAATGCCAGACAAACAAATGCAGGTGTCGCGAAACTGGCTACAAAGCTACTGCAGCAATTGCCTAGTTTTGCGAGAATCGGTAAAACGTGTGGTTTTTAACCGGGAAAACTTTCATTGAGAGTGCCGGCGGATATCCGGTCCCGCTCGCCCCTCCCCTGTGTAACAGTCAGTGTCTGTTGTCGCCAGGCTCCCGGCAGGAGCTGCTGCGGCCGTACGGCCAGTTCCACCAGCGGGCGGTGTGGGCCTCCCTCCCCTGTGTAACAGTCAGTGTCTGTGGTCGCCAGGCTCCCGGCAGGAGCTGCTGCGGCCGTACGGCCAGTTCCACCAGCGGGCGGTGTGGGCCTCCCTCTCCTGTGTAACAGTCAGTGTTTGTGGTCACCAGGCTCCCGGCAGGAGCTGCTGCGGCCGTACGGCCAGTTCCACCAGCGGGCCGAGCAGCTGCAGCGGACGCTGGACGAGCTGCGCGCTGCGCTGGACGGACGGCCGCTGACCGAGGACGACATCGCACTGGTGGAGGCCCGCTGGCCAGGCATGCAGCAGCAGTACCACCAGCTGGCCGACGCCGGAAAGGCCTTCGTCGACATGGCGCAAAACGTGAGAACGGTGTCATTTGCTTGAAATTATGTATCGTGTAAGTGGAGAGAATTGAAGGGTTTAGGTGCTCTCTGCTCGCTCTGTGTTTGCTATATTTCCGCTCAATGCAGTATGTATTTTGCATAAATACGCCGGACGCTTTTGACGCTGCTCTTTAAATGACCATTTATGAGTGACTCTTCCTCTCTGTCCAGTGCAAGGACCCGTACCTGGACGCGCGGCTGGCAGTAACTGACCTCGAGCCCTCCCCCTGTCTGCCCAGTGCAAGGACCCGTGCCTGGACGCGCGGCTGGCAGTAACTGACCTCGAGCCCTCCCCCTGTCTGCCCAGTGCAAGGACCCGTGCCTGGACGCGCGGCTGGCAGTAACTGACCTCGAACCCTCCCCCTGTCTGTCCAGTGCAAGGACCCGTGCCTGGACGCGCGGCTGGCAGTAACTGACCTCGAGCCCTCCCTCTCTCTGTCCAGTGCAAGGACCCGTACCTGGACGCGCGGCGCGCAGTAACTGACCTCGAGCCCTCCCCCTCTCTGTCCAGTGCAAGGACCCGTACCTGGACGCGCGGCGCGCCTGCCTCTGCGTGGAGTCCATCCTGGAGCACCTGCGCGCCGACCAGCTGAAGGTCACCGAGACGTACGAGCGTGTCCAGCTGAGTATGAGCACGGCGCGCCAGCTGCAGCGCGACTGGGAAACGTGCGCGCGGGACTCCAAACAGGTGCGGGCCGAACGGGGAGAGGGAATGGGTAGGGGAAAGCTGATGTAAGGGAATGAGGGCGTGTCTGTCACAGGTAACGCCGGTATTAGTTAAAAATTGTAACTGGGAAGAAGCTGAGTTGAAAGTTACATTTCTAACTAGCCATGTTCCGAAAAAAATGTATGTTGTATCTACAGGGGTCACTCCTATCACATCCACCGGTATATTGTTTTCGAACGGTAGTGACTGTCTGGTATATCGCTGCCAGCCCCCTCCCTCGACTGATATCACGCCGTGTTTCGCCGCCGGCCGCCCCAGACTATGAAGAGCGACTGCCCGCTCCACTGATAATCGCGCCGTGTCTCTCCCGCTGTCAGACTCTGGAGAGCGCCTCCCGCCTGCTCGGTGAGCTGTTCCCTGTGCTGCGCGACCCGCCCCGGCCGGCCCGGGAGCGCGGCAGCCAGTGCCAGCAGGCGGCGCAGGACCGCGTGCCGCAGCTGGAGCGGCTCAGACAGGAGCTGGAGCAGCGCGCCAGGAGCGCCGAGAAACTGCGGGACGCAGGTGCGGAGCGGAGAGCGAGGGCGGCTGCGGTAAAACCATCGGTGATGAAGGGGTGGGGGTGGGGGTAGATTACTCGTTTTAATCAACCGTCTTTAATCAGCCGTCAACAGCGCCCGTCAGTCTCGTTACCCCCAGTGGTCCCTTACCCTCAGTTGACCGCCCCCTGTTATGTCCGGCAGACACGGGCGGCGAGGCCGACCGGCTGGCGCAGCAGCTGAGCCGTCAGCGTGATCACGTGACCACCGTCACCACCGAGTACCAGATGACGCTACAGATGATGCAGACCTACTTCAAAAACGTCGCAGAGGTACCGCGTACGAGACGTGCATTGTGGAAAATGCTGTGTGAAAATGCTGCTCCTTTATTACGACTTATTGAGGATCTCATTGATCTGTAAAAAGTCGAGTTAGTAATTATTTACGGTATATTTCGCTAAAATCGCTGCTATATTGACGTCCGTGAACAGGCAAATTTGGAGCTCTTCCATCTGCTGCATGTTGTCATTAAATTCATTTTGATGGTACGAGTGGGCAGGCTACAGTCCTAAGAAGCCATTCTATGCCGTACCTCTCTGTTTGGCATATACCTCGTCTTTGACACCCTTGCCCGTCTCTGCTCACTCGTCAGCTGGACTCTGGCATTGAGAAGCAGCGCTCCACGTACCAGAGCGGGCCGCTGCCGAGCGCTCCGGCCGACTGCCAGCAGCGCCTCCAGGAGCTGGAGTCCAGCCAGCGCGCCTTCCAGGAGCTCTTCAGGTGGGCCACCGCTACCGGCCTCTGTAGGATAGTGCTAGGACGGGTGGGTGCTCATATAGGGTTCTTCTTTCTCCCACTAGGTTCGCTGGCGGCGAGCTGGAGCGGCTGGAGAGTGTGATAGGGATATTATTGACGCGTAGTTCGTCCTTCTCCCACTAGGTTCGCTGGCGGCGAGCTGGAGCGGCTGGAGGAGCGCGTCCGCCAGGTGGAGCCGCCGGCGGCCGCCGCTCAGGACATCAGGGAGCTGCGCTCGGCACTGGACACGCAGACGGTAAGGCGCGGCCGCGGCTGCTGTCCGGGGGCTGCTTCGCTGGGCTAATTACAGGCATTCATCTAGGGAACACTCGGAAGTCGGAACTAAATCAATTTTGTTTGCAAATGGTCAAAATAGTCTATGAACCGCACTCGGATCTTTTTTTTGTCAATGTTTTGCAATTTTCCGCCTCTTCTTTCGTTACCCTCCATTACAGTCAATATCGTCCCCTCCCCTACCGCCCGTCCCTCAGACCAAGTGTGAGCAGACGTGGAGCTCTCGCCGGGGGCAGCTGGAGCGCCAGGCCGCCTCCACGGCCTTCAACTCGGAGCTGGGAGCCATTAACGGCCAGCTGGCAGAGCTGAGCTCCCAGCTGGACACCATGAGGGGGCAGTACGGCGAGACGCGCCGGGAAGCCGAGCAGACCAGCCGCGCCTTCCGCAACTTCGAGGACACCATATCGGTCAGTGACGGGACACCATATCGGTCAGTGACGGGACACCACATCGGTCAGTGACGGGAGGCGGGACACCATATCGGTCAGTGACGGGACACCATATCGGTCAGTGACGGGACACCATATCGGTCAGTGACGGGAGGCGGGACACCATATCGGTCAGTGACGGGACACCATATCGGTCAGTGACGGGACACCATATCGGTCAGTGACGGGACACCATATCGGTCAGTGACGGGACACCATATCGGTCAGTGACGGGACACCATCTCGGTCAGTGACGGGACACCATCTCGGTCAGTGACGGGACACCATATCGGTCAGTGACGGGACACCATATCGGTCAGTGACAGGACACCATATCGGTCAGTGACGGGACACCATCTCGGTCAGTGACGGGACACCATATCGGTCAGTGACGGGACACCATATCGGTCAGTGACGGGACACCATATCGGTCAGTGACGGGACACCATATCGGTCAGTGACGGGACACCATCTCGGTCAGTGACGGGAGGCGGGACACCATATCGGTCAGTGACGGGACACCATCTCGGTCAGTGACGGGACACCATCTCGGTCAGTGACGGGACACTATATCGGTCAGTGACTGTCAAAGATTACAAGTGACCATAGACTACCCTGTATGTTTCTCGTAATACAGTAGTCTATGCTGTGATATTACCAAAATCTCACCGATCAACTTCGATTATGGCTGTATTATGCTATGCTTTACGTGACGGTATTTATTAGAAAGATAACCTCGTGCCCTCGGTGTCTTTTCCAGAACACGGGTAGTCAGATCCAGAGTTTCGTCAGCACGGCGGAGGGGTTCCTCGGCGGGACGCCAGAGCCGGAGCGGGTCCATCTGGAGCTGGAGACGGTGCAGAACAAGTGGTCCTCCTTCCACCGGCAGGTCGGCGACAACCGGAAGCTGATCGACCTCTCCATCCAGTACTTCAAACTGGTCGAGGAGGTGAGAGGACCGGGGACGGAGGGCACGGCGGGACCGCGGATAGGGAGAGCAGCACACATGACAACTTCCTACGACGAAACTTGAGATATTATTTTGTTCATTTTTAGTAACTAATTAGCAATCTGCTTCCAAATAGTGCTGCATTTAGCGGCTTCAACATGCCAGCCTCACTGTTTTGCGTAGTTAAATTGTCACGTTTCCGTTCCATTGCCTGCACCTGACCGGCTGGGTTATTGTGTGGCGCAGTCTGAGGACTGGTACAAGGAGGGCGGTAAACTGCTGGTGGATATCGCCCGTAAGACCACCCAGATCCGCTCGCCAGAGGAGGCCCAGCGGCTGAGGACCGAGATCAACCTGTTCCTCTCGCCGGGCGAGCAGCTCCAGGAGGAGCGGCTGAGGACCATCTCCGTGATGGCCGAGCAGCTGTATGGTGAGAGGGGGAGAGGGAGGGAGGGGTCTGACCGTCCTACTACTGCCTGACTCTTAACTGAGTACTGAGGGGTCGGTTTCGGGCCGTATATTGGTTCTGGCGTGGACGGGGACTGTTGCTAGTGTGATCGTCTGTTGTACGTCGTTAGGCACTGATCAGCCGGAGCGGGTGGTGACGGTGACTGGTGCTGTCTGGTGCAGCTGTGGTGACGGGTGGTGCCTGGTGATGTAGTGGCTGACCGTCTGTGTCGTTCCCTCAGGCACCCCGCAGCCGGAGCGTGTACAGACGGTGACGCAGCAGCACCGCGACATGGTGGACTCTCTGACCACGGTCCGACACGAGCTGCAGCGGCTCGTCGAGAAGCTGGAGGAGGCCGACTCGGAGCGGGAGCAGCTGCGCCGCCACAACGACCAGCTGGCCGTCGACATGAGGGCCGCGCAGCAGGTCAGGCGGCACGGCTGGAGGCGGAAGGAAGGGAGCGGGGGCAGCGTGACCGGTGTCAGGCTCGATAGTAGGATGTTCGTGGCTTGATATGTTCGTTGTCGCACAGTTTTAACTCGGTATACGCCCGGCGTTAACCTCCATGCTGCACTGCCCCCCACCCTGTCCCTCCACTGACCCGGTCCTTTTCCCCGGCGGCCGGCAGGAGGCAGACGCGGCGCGCGCCGCCGCCTCGGCTGCCGAGGAGGCGCGCCGCGCGGCGGAGGCGGCCGCGCTGGCGCTGCAGGAGATGCCGCGGCCCATCACGCCGCTGGTCGTACCCAAGGTGGACGTCTGCACTGAGACACTCACAGAGGTCACCAAGGTATGTACCGCGGCGGGAGGCCGGGCGATGGGGTCAGTGGTGAACACCGGGCCAGTGACAAAGATGCGTCACTTTACAGAGTTTCTTAGCAATGGACAGCGGTGACAGACCAGAATGAATAAGGCGCGCACTGAGTGTCATCTGCCGGCAGCTCTATCACTCTGTCTCTTAATCACACAGTTTACATAAATGACATCGTCTCTCTGTTCCTACCCGTCTCTCCGCTGACCGGTGTGTTCGTGCCGCCCCAGGTGACGGTGGACAGGTACACCCAGGGCGTCCCTGTCGGTACGGCCGACGCGGCCACCCAGCAGGCGGCAGTGCACACGGCCGACGCCGGCACGCAGCAGGCGGCCGTCGGCACCGCGGACGCCGCCACGCAGGAGATCCCGGCCACCTCGGACGCCGCCACTCAGGAGATGGCCGTCGGCACGGCCGACGCGTCCACGCAGCGCGCCACGGCCGCCACCGCCGACGCCTGCACGCAGCAGATTCCGGTGGGCACCTCCGACGCGGCGACACAGGAGATCCCCGTGGGGACGTCGGACGCCGCCACGCAGAAGGTGTCTTTCGGCACGGACGTGTCGACTCAGAACGTGGCCCTGGTGGCGGACGTGTCCACGCAGAAGGTGTCGGCCGGGACGGACGCCTCCACGCAGGACCTCCCCGTGAGCACCTCGGACGCGGCCACGCAGAAGGTCTCCAGCGGCACAGACGCCGCCACGCAGAAAATCACCATGGGAACCGACGCTTCAACCCAGAACGTCACTGTTGGCACTGACGCCTCCACGCAGAACACGACAGTGGGAACGGATGTCTCTACACAGAAAATCACCATGGGGACGGACGCCTCGACCCAGGACACCACGTCGGCGGCGGACGCGGCCACTCAGAAGGTGACGGCGGCCACGGACGCGGCCACTCAGAAGGTGACTCTGGCGGCGGACGCCTCGACTCAGGAGAGCGGCGTCTCGGTGGTGGACGCCGGCACGGAGCCGTGCCTCCCGGACCTGCCCGCGGAGGTGCCGGCCGCCGAGGAGCCGGTGACGGCCGCCCGCCGGCCGCGCTCCGCCCAGCCGCCGCCGGCGCCGGCCGCTCCGCTCGTACCGCCCGTGTTCACGGTTCCCCTGGCGGACCGCACCGTACCGGAGGGCGAGAGGCACGTGCTGCAGGCCCGGTACGTACCCGGGGCGGGGTGGGGCGTCTTGGCGAGGGTGGATATCGGCAATGACAAGTGGCTATCGTTCATACATGGCTTACTTTTACTGACCCCAGCGGCTGCTCCCGCCCCCCTCCTCTGTCCATTCTGACTGTACCTCCCTCTGTTATACAGTGTGTCCGGAGAGCCGGCCCCGACCGTCACCTGGCACAAGGACGGCCGGCCGTGCGGCGCCAACTCGGAGTACGAGCTGAGCCGCACGGCCGACGGCCTGTGCTCGCTGCTCATCGAGGAGACCCTGGTCGAGGACAGCGCCGTGTTCACGTGCCGCGCCGAGAACGCCGCCGGGGTGGCCGAGACCAGCGGCCGGCTCACCGTCCGCGGTACGGCACCGGGAGAGCCGGGGGATGGGGGCAGGGTGGGCTGGGGAGAGGAGAGGTGGGGTGCGACTCTGGGGCGCCTGATACATGGCTATTCCTCACGCGAGTCTGATGTTATTTTTCTGCTGCGGCGGCAGAGCTGGAGCGCGGCCAGTCGCCGGCGTTCAGCCGCCCGCTGCGCGACCTGCGGGTGGAGCCGGGCCGTCCGCTGGTGCTGCACGCCACCGTGTCCGGCTCGCCGACACCGCAGGTCAGCTGGCTGCACAACGGCGCCAGCGTGGACGCCGACCGCCGCTACCTGACCACCGTCAACAACGGCCAGTGCACGCTGCGCGCCGAGGCGGCCGAGCCGCGCGACCAGGGCGTCTTCGTGTGCCGCGCCGCCAACGCGCTCGGCTTCGACCAGACCTCGGCCACCGTCCGCATCCAGAGTGAGTGCTCCCTCAGCCGGGGAGGGCGGGTGCAGGATAAGGCACTGCAGGAAAACTGACACGCTCTATTGATTGGATCGTTCTGGGGTTTGTAAAACGCTGACCTGCACCTGAATAGCACCCTGCTTGCGTTCACCCATCTCGTCTCATCCACCTGCCCCGAGCTGACTGACCCTCGCCCTCGCTCTGGTCGGCAGCGCGCGTGCCGTACGAGAAGCCCCAGTTCTGCAGTCCGCTGAGTAACGTCATGGCGCGCACCGGCCAGAAGCTGCGGCTCGAGTGTGAGGTCACCGGTCTGCCGCACCCGGAGCTGAGCTGGCTGCACAACGGACGGCCCGTGCAGGAGGGACGCGACACACGGGTCAGTGGCGGGAGGGACGGGACACCCGGGTCAGTGGCGGGAGGGACGAGACACCCGGGTCAGTGGCGGGAGGGACGAGACACCCAGGTCAGTGGCGGGAGGGACGAGACACCCGGGTCAGTGGCGGGAGGGACGAGACACCCAGGTCAGTGGCGGGAGGGACGAGACACACGGGTCAGTGGCGGGAGGGACGAGACACCCGGGTCAGTGGCGGGAGGGACGAGACACCCGGGTCAGTGACGGGAGGGACGAGACACCCGGGTCAGTGGCGGGAGGGACGAGACACCCGGGTCAGTGGCGGCAGGGACGAGACACCCGGGTCAGTGGCGGGAGGGACGAGACACCCAGGTCAGTGGCGGGAGGGACGAGACACACGGGTCAGTGGCGGGAGGGACGAGACACACGGGTCAGTGGCGGGAGGGACGAGACACCCGGGTCAGTGGCGGGAGGGACGAGACACCCAGGTCAGTGGCGGGAGGGACGAGACACCCGGGTCAGTGGCGGGAGGGACGAGACACCCGGGTCAGTGGCAGGAGGGACGAGACACACGGGTCAGTGGCGGGAGGGACGAGACACCCGGGTCAGTGGCGGGAGGGACGAGACACCCGGGTCAGTGACGGGAGGGACGAGACACCCGGGTCAGTGGCGGGAGGGACGAGACACCCGGGTCAGTGGCGGGAGGGACGAGACACCCAGGTCAGTGGCGGGAGGGACGAGACACACGGGTCAGTGGCGGGAGGGACGAGACACCCGGGTCAGTGGCGGGAGGGACGAGACACCCGGGTCAGTGACGGGAGGGACGAGACACCCGGGTCAGTGACGGGAGGGACGAGACACCCGGGTCAGTGGCGGGAGGGACGAGACACCCGGGTCAGTGACGGGAGGGACGAGACACCCGGGTCAGTGGCGGGAGGGACGAGACACCCGGGTCAGTGGCGGGAGGGACGAGACACCCAGGTCAGTGGCGGGAGGGACGAGACACACGGGTCAGTGGCGGGAGGGACGAGACACACGGGTCAGTGGCGGGAGGGACGAGACACCCGGGTCAGTGACGGGAGGGACGAGACACCCGGGTCAGTGACGGGAGGGACGAGACACCCGGGTCAGTGGCGGGAGGGACGAGACACCCGGGTCAGTGGCGGCAGGGACGAGACACCCGGGTCAGTGGCGGCAGGGACGCGACACCCGGGTCTGTGGCGGGAGGGACGAGACACCCGGGTCAGTGGCGGGAGGGACGAGACACCCGGGTCAGTGACGGGAGGGACGAGACACACGGGTCAGTGGCGGGAGGGACGAGACACACGGGTCAGTGGCGGGAGGGACGAGACACCCGGGTCAGTGGCGGGAGGGACGAGACACCCGGGTCAGTGACGGGAGGGACGAGACACACGGGTCAGTGGCGGGAGGGACGAGACACACGGGTCAGTGGCGGGAGGGACGAGACACCCGGGTCAGTGGCGGGAGGGACGAGACACACGGGTCAGTGGCGGGAGGGACGAGACACCCGGGTCAGTGGCGGGAGGGACGAGACACCCGGGTCAGTGGCGGGAGGGACGAGACACACGGGTCAGTGGCGGGAGGGACGAGACACCCGGGTCAGTGACGGGAGGGACGAGACACACGGGTCAGTGGCGGGAGGGGTACCACACCCGGGTCAGTGGCGGGAGGGACGAGACACCCGGGTCAGTGGCGGGAGGGACGCGACACCCGGGTCAGTGACGGGAGGGACGAGACACACGGGTCAGTGACGGGAGGGACGAGACACACGGGTCAGTGGCGGGAGGGACGAGACACCCGGGTCAGTGGCGGGAGGGACGAGACACACGGGTCAGTGGCGGGAGGGACGAGACACCCGGGTCAGTGGCGGGAGGGACGAGACACCCGGGTCAGTGGCGGGAGGGACGAGACACACGGGTCAGTGGCGGGAGGGACGAGACACCCGGGTCAGTGACGGGAGGGACGAGACACACGGGTCAGTGGCGGGAGGGGTACCACACCCGGGTCAGTGGCGGGAGGGACGAGACACCCGGGTCAGTGGCGGGAGGGACGAGACACACGGGTCAGTGGCGGGAGGGACGAGACACACGGGTCAGTGGCGGGAGGGACGAGACACCCGGGTCAGTGACAGGAGGGACGAGACACACGGGTCAGTGGCGGGAGGGACGAGACACACGGGTCAGTGGCGGGAGGGACGAGGCACCCGGGTCAGTGGCGGGAGGGACGAGAAACCCGGGTCAGTGGCGGGAGGGACGAGACACCCGGGTCAGTGGCGGGAGGGACGAGACACCCGGGTCAGTGGCGGGAGGGACGAGAAACCCGGGTCAGTGGCGGGAGGGACGAGACACCCGGGTCAGTGGCGGGAGGGACGAGACACCCGGGTCAGTGGCGGGAGGGACGAGAAACACGGGTCAGTGGCGGGAGGGACGCGACACACGGGTCAGTGGCGGGAGGGACGAGACACCCGGGTCAGTGGCGGGAGGGACGAGACACACGGGTCAGTGGCGGGAGGGACGAGACACCCGGGTCAGTGGCGGGAGGGACGAGACACCCGGGTCAGTGGCGGGAGGGACGAGACACCCGGGTCAGTGGCGGGAGGGACGAGACACCCGGGTCAGTGACGGGAGGGACGAGACACACGGGTCAGTGGCGGGAGGGACGAGAAACACGGGTCAGTGGCGGGAGGGACGCGACACACGGGTCAGTGGCGGGAGGGACGAGACACCCGGGTCAGTGACAGGAGGGACGAGACACACGGGTCAGTGGCGGGAGGGACGAGACACACGGGTCAGTGGCGGGAGGGACGAGGCACCCGGGTCAGTGGCGGGAGGGACGAGAAACCCGGGTCAGTGGCGGGAGGGACGAGACACCCGGGTCAGTGGCGGGAGGGACGAGACACCCGGGTCAGTGGCGGGAGGGACGAGAAACCCGGGTCAGTGGCGGGAGGGACGAGACACCCGGGTCAGTGGCGGGAGGGACGAGACACCCGGGTCAGTGGCGGGAGGGACGAGACACCCGGGTCAGTGGCGGGAGGGACGAGACACCCGGGTCAGTGGCGGGAGGGACGAGACACCCGGGTCAGTGACGGGAGGGACGAGACACACGGGTCAGTGGCGGGAGGGACGAGACACACGGGTCAGTGGCGGGAGGGACGAGACACCCGGGTCAGTGGCGGGAGGGACGAGACACCCAGGTCAGTGGCGGGAGGGACGAGACACCCGGGTCAGTGGCGGGAGGGACGAGACACCCGGGTCAGTGACGGGAGGGACGAGACACACGGGTCAGTGGCGGGAGGGACGAGACACCCGGGTCAGTGGCGGGAGGGGTACCACACCCGGGCCAGTCACAAGAGAGGCGGGGCGCACGGGACAGTGTGGGGTCTGAGGGGCACTCTACCCGGGTCAGTGGGGTCTTGAATTTAAACGAGGTCACTTATCCGTCTCAGGAAATCTCCAATGCCTGGAACTGTCTTAGCGACTTTGGAAACTTCCGATTCTGTGTAGTGTGTCAATGTGTTTGACCGCTGCCGTCCTGTGACCTCAGGTGACCTTTGACGGCCGTCGCGCCACGCTCACCATCCCGGAGGCGTTCCCCAAGGACGCCGGGACGTACGTCATCGTGGCCAAAAACGAGGCCGGCGAGGCCAGCTGCCAGTGCCACGTCTCCGTCAAGGTACGAGTCAGTGTGGCAGTGTCACGTTTGTCAGGGTAAGCAGCCTGTTTTTGTGAGTCTGGCAGTCAATGGTACCCAGGCAAGATGGTGATACTTGTCACAAGTTGGTTTTCACCGAATGTACTGCATGGCCTAGTTTTTACGTGGTCTGAGTATTTGATAATTAGTGACACTGACATCCAGGATCCTTTTGTCGCTCCAAACAACTAAACTCTATCGTTTCCACCCTCGGCAGGGCCGTCTGCCGACCGAGACGTCCGACTCGGAGTTTGCCAGTGACGCGGAGCCGGTGAAGCCGTGTGTCGAGGTGCAGCTGCGAGACCTGACTGTGGAGCGCGGCCAGCGCGCGCAGCTCGACTGCGTCATCACCGGCCAGCCAGAGCCAGAGGTACGGGGAGGGGGGGGGGGGGTAACTGAAACACTGACCATGGGGCAGCCCGAGCCCGGGGTACGGCGGGACTTAAACCAGCCCGAGCCTGATGTACGGGAGTACTGCGGGAGGCTGGATATTTCTGGGTGAGAATGCACTCTGGACAGCCGTAGTACCTGCCCCACGGACAGGTGATTTGGTACCTGCTGTAGTACCGACCCTCTCTGTCTGACAGGTGATTTGGTACCACGGCGAGCTGCCGGTGAAGGAGTCGTGCGACTACCAGCTGCTGTAGTACCGACCCTCTCTGTCTGACAGGTGATTTGGTACCACGGCGAGCTGCCGGTGAAGGAGTCGCGCGACTACCAGCTGCTGTAGTACCGACCCTCTCTGTCTGGCAGGTGATTTGGTACCACGGCGAGCTGCCGGTGAAGGAGTCGTGCGACTACCAGCTGCTGTAGTACCGACCCTCTCTGTCTGACAGGTGATTTGGTACCACGGCGAGCTGCCGGTGAAGGAGTCGCGCGACTACCAGCTGCTGTAGTACCGACCCTCTCTGTCTGGCAGGTGATTTGGTACCACGGCGAGCTGCCGGTGAAGGAGTCGCGCGACTACCAGCTGCTGTAGTACCGACCCTCTCTGTCTGGCAGGTGATTTGGTACCACGGCGAGCTGCCGGTGAAGGAGTCGCGCGACTACCAGCTGCTGTAGTACCGACCCTCTCTGTCTGACAGGTGATTTGGTACCACGGCGAGCTGCCGGTGAAGGAGTCGTGCGACTACCAGCTGCTGTAGTACCGACCCTCTCTGTCTGACAGGTGATTTGGTACCACGGCGAGCTGCCGGTGAAGGAGTCGCGCGACTACCAGCTGCTGTAGTACCGACCCTCTCTGTCTGACAGGTGATTTGGTACCACGGCGAGCTGCCGGTGAAGGAGTCGCGCGACTACCAGCTGCTGTAGTACCGACCCTCTCTGTCTGACAGGTGATTTGGTACCACGGCGAGCTGCCGGTGAAGGAGTCGCGCGACTACCAGCTGCTGTTCCACGGCGACCGGTGCACGCTGGTCATTAACAGCGCGCTGTCAGAGGACGCCGGCCCCTACTCGGTGGTGGCCATCAACTCGGCCGGCGAGGCCAGCTCGCGCTGCGCCCTCAACGTGCTCGGTGAGAGTGTCTGGGAGGAGGGAGGGGAGAGGTGGGGAGGTCAGCTCGCGCTGCTACATGAATGTGTTCGGTGAGCGGTGGGCTGGCACTGTACTTTTCAGGGTGGAGAGGACCTATTGAATATCTGAGGAGCGAAGGTGTTTTGGTTTCGTTTATTAGTTAGGGGCAACAGATAACTTTTTTTGGTAATGTCAAAACGCAACTGTTATTTGCTGCTAATTGAACTAGTCTCCACTCCAGCTTACGACCTGAAACATCCACTTTACGATGGGAGCTCCCTTCCTCGCAGTACGACATATCCCCATCCTGACCGGCGACCCCTTTGCCCGCAGCGCCGCGCACCACCTGGAGGAGGTGACCGAGGAGCCCTAACTCACCCCCACCCTGGCCCCTTACAGCGCCGCGCACCCCGACCCTCGAGGAGGTGACTGAGGAGTCCTAACTCACCCCCACCCTGGCCCCTTACAGCGCCGCGCACCCCCACCCCGGAGGAGGTGACCGAGGAGCCCAAGTTCACCCGGCTGCTGACGGACGCCAGTGCCCGGGAGGGCGAGCAGGAGGTGCTGGAGGCCGAGGTCACCGGCACGCCGGCGCCGACCGTCACCTGGCTCAAGGACGGCCGGGAGATCCGATCCACGGAGAGCGTCAAGGTACGGCCGGGCCGCAGTGGATTCCCATTGGAAGGGAGTGTTTGAGTGGGACTTTCTGACCTTCTGTGCCCGGCTGGATGTTTTACCTCACACCAGCTCGCAGCCCATGGTCCCCCTGTGAAGAATATATTCCCTGACAAAAGCTCTCACAGTCCCTGACCTATCCTTGCGTCCGTCTGTCCACAGTCCCCCCTAGACGGGCCCGTTGTTCGCATACGTAGCTGGCAGTGCCTGACCCCGCCCCCCCCCCATCTTCCCGCAGCTCTCCCTGGATGGGGGCCGCGCCCGGCTGGAGATCGGCTCCTGTCTGCCGCAGCACGCCGGTAACTACATCTGTGTGGCCTCCAACCGAGCCGGCGAGGCGCGCTGCTTCGCGCACGTGACGGTTCGCGCGCGGCCGCAGCCGGTGCAGTTCCGCGCGCCGCCGCCCATGCAGCCGCCCGTGTTCGTGCAGATCTTCAAGGACCAACACGTGGCAGAGGGAGATGACGTGCTCTACCAGTGCATCATCGACGGCAAACCCAAACCGACGGTTAGTGGACGCTGGGGGACTGCATACTCCACAGGCTGGACTCCGGAGGCTGCGGGACGCGGGTAGATGGTCAGGTGTCCGTCAATGTTACATGTCGTATTTGGGGACGAGCTCCGTATCTGCAGTCATTGCCGTTCCTCCTCTCCCTCCAGTCCTGATCTGACTGATACCTGTCTGTGTGCCGTGTCACAGGTGCAGTGGCTGTTTGACGACGGCCCGCTGCCCTCGGAGAAGTTCTCCGTCTCCTCGGAGGGCCAGCACCACGTGCTGAGGATTCGGTCCGCAGAGCTCGACCACTGCGGACGCGTCAAGTGCATCGCCGAGAACGACATCGGAAAGGCCACCTGTGTGGCCCAGCTCTCCGTCGAAGGTAGCCGAAGCGCGGGAATCAGCGGCTGGGGTGGCTGCAGGGCTGGGCCCAGATGTCTTTCGGAGGTAGCCACACACGGAAAGGGCTCTGGCGATCGGTTAGCCGTGAAACGTCAGTCCTGTTTTTGGTGTGTACTCTGTCTCGTTTCCGTCCCTGACCGCTCCACTCGTCGCTGACGTTAGTTTACTCTGTCGGTCTCGTTTCCGTCGCTGACCGGTCCACCGGTGTCCGTCGTCCACAGAGCCGGTGTCCGACCTGCCGCCGCCCACCGTCAGCCAGATGATCGCCCTCTCCGGCGGCGCCACCAACAGCCAGACGGCCAAGTCGTTCACCATGAAGAAAACCTTGCACACTGAGGTCCACGAACAGACGCAGGTGCGGGATGGGCCGTGAAACGGCCACCTCCTCGTCCCATGGGCTGGAAACGGAGCTGTCTACTAGTCACTTCATGCATTTTTTTCCTTGTTTGCGCAGAAACATCGAGTTCCTCACGATGACACATCGATTCAGCCACTTACCAGTTATCAGCATTCAGCAGTGCCCTACTCTGTCCCTGCCCTCAGGTGATTAACGGTGGCAGGAGACCGAAGCCGGCGGAGGAGCAGGATCAGGAGCGCAGTCAGGAGGTGCACTCCAGCATCGCGGTTCCTCCCGAGGAGCCGGTACGAGGGGGTAGGGGCAGGGGGGGGGGACTCAACAGAGGGACGACCAGTGAGTGCTGTGATGGCTTGCCATTGGCTGTACCCAGGGAAGGCCTCTGAAGCTAAAACGCTCTTTTCTACCCCAAGCTTGATGTATTTTGCTCGTCTTTTGTCTGATGAAATGTGCTGTGAATATGACCCAACTGGTTTGATAGTTGACGCTAGCCTGACCTTACCTCAGCAGACATCCTCCGTCCTCAGCAGTCAGCTGCACCGCACAATCTACGAGGAGGTCCACACTGACCTGACCTGACCTGACCTCCCTCAGCTGCACCGGACCACCTACGAGGAGGTCCACCGCGGCGAGGTGGCGGAGCGGGTCGAGAAGAAGGTGCCGGCCAAGCCGCCGCGCTTCCTGACTCCGCTGCAGGGTCAGATGGTGCGCCAGGGCGAGACGGCCCGCCTGGAGGGGGCCTACACAGGTACGGAGGGAGTCTGCAGGGGTAGGGAGGGGTCTGTATGGGTACGGATGGGTCCATATACACGGGCGGTGGGACCTTCACCTGTATGTATGGGGACGGACAGGACGGGGCGGTGAATGTGAAGACGGTAGAGTCACGGTGATGCGCAGTGAGGCTGGTACATACCCGCTATCCGCACTGACGGCCGCCGCCCGGTCTGTCCGGCAGGCTCGCCGGCCCCCGAGGTGCAGTGGCTCCGGGATGGCGCCCCGCTGCCGGCCGACGCCGCGCCCCGGCTGGTGACGTCACACGAGCCGGGCCGCGTCACGCTGACGGTGGATGACGTCACCGAGGCGGACGCCGGCCGGTACACGTGCACCATGAAGAACGCCGCCGGCACGGCCACCAGCACCGCCGACCTCGTCGTCAAAAGTAGGCGACTGGGCGCACTGCCGGCGCGGGGTCATGGGCTAGCCGACAGAGACCGTTAGATGATGAGGCCGAGTGTCTAACTCTAAAGAGAGACTCAGTCGAATTCGTGCAATAATTTCGCATGAGGGCTGTTCACGGGCCCTGTGTGCGATCGGACCGCACACAGCCTCCAAGCTCCGCCCACTGCGTCCCTACGGCAGCCTTCCGTCACCGCACACAGCGACCGCTGTGGCCGGTCGGGACTGGCCACAGCAGACCGTCCACCGCACGCAGCCGTGACGTCAGAGCCGCCTACCCATCCCCTACCCCCACGCCTGCTGGACGCACCGCACACACCGCACGCAGCAGTGTGCGGTGTCCGTGAACACCCCAAAGTTCAGGAAATGTGTCCTGCACGTGTACATATTCCGCTGATGCTGTGGTCCACCTCCACCCACTAGTGGCCCGTTCGCCGGCCTGACTGACCATCCCCCCCCCCTCCTCCCCGCAGAGACGGTGTTCCCGCCGGTGTTCGACCACCGGCTGAAGGCGCAGGTGGCCCAGCCGGGCCAGCGGGTGTTCCTGGAGGCCACGGTGAGCGGCACGCCGAACCCGCAGGTGGTCTGGAGCCGGGACGGAGCGCCGCTCCACCCCGAGCGGCACCGCGTCAAGGAGGAGGGCAGCCGGCACATCCTCGTCATCGAGACAGGTCAGTGGGGACGGGGAAGGGAAAGCGTGGTCTCCCCACAACAAGGGTGAAAGAAATAAATACATTTGGCGAGGCAGTTGGGGTCATGCTGTCATGCAGTAGGTTCATAGATCGATTTATTATTATTTCATTCGACCCGTGTATTGTAACAGAAAATAAATGCGGAGACCAGAGTGGATAAACGAACAAACTGAACACATTGCTTCCCATAAGCAGTGCTCGTCACTCGGTAGGGATTTCGCTCGACGTCTAGTAGATGACGGGCCGGGTGCGCTGCGCGCGCTGCGACATGTCTCCGAGTGGCCTGCTCTGGTCGAACCCTGTGTAGGTGTAGCGGGAGGCGCGGCCCTTGAGGGTGGCGCCGGCGCGGAGCCGGCAGCCGCCGCCGCCGCGGGGCGTGTAGGCCGCCGGGGAGGGCACCAGCTGCTGCTGCCGGCCGCTCATGTCCACGTGGCGCAGTCCGAGCGGGTAGCGGGCGGCGCGCGCCAGCACCGGCCGCGGCGAGTAGGCGTTGGGCGCCGGCGTCGGCTGGGCCGGGCCGGCCGGTCGGCGGCCCACCAGCGGGAAGCCGCGTCGGGTGCCCGGCGGCTCGTGCGGCTCGTAGGCGTTGGGCGCCGGCGTGCCGCCGCCGGCGCGGGCCGCCTTCAGTCCGAAGCTGAAGGCGGGCCGCGCTTTGGGCTCCCGGGGGAGTCTGTAGGTGGCCGGCCCGACGGCAGGGGGCGCGCCGCTCTGGCTGGGTGTCAGCTGTCCAGCCAGGCTGAACGCCGGAGCTCGGCGGCGCGCCGGTTTCTCGGGCGAGTAGGCGGCCGGTCCGGGTGTCTCCTGCGCGGGCGACTCGCTCTCGAACGGCCGGAACGTCATCTCTGACTTGCGGGACGTGCCGGGTGGCATGGTGTAGGTGTTAGGCGGCGGCGTGGGTGACGGGCCGCGCGGGTGCAGCCGCCGGCCGATGGTGGGCGCGTGGCTCGCGGGTGTCACGGGGACCGGGTCGTGCGCGCCCGGCCCGGGGAAGTCGCGGGTCGGCGGCGTCACCGGCCGCGGCCGGCCCGTGAACGAGTGGCGCGGCCCGGCCGGAGGCGCTCGCACGTCCCGCGCGCCCGGCCCGGGCCCGGCCGTGCGGTCACAGACGGGCAGCCGGGCGGCCAGGCTGTGGACGGGCGCCGACGGCAGGTGCGCCGTCACCGGGCCGTAGACGGGCGCCGGCGCCGACACGATGCCCTTGTCGAGCGGACTGGGCAGGCCGACCGTGACGCCGGCGGCCGGCACCGCCTTCAGAGAGGTGCGCGCCGGCCGGCTGGCCACGTCCCCGACGGTGACCAGGTGGACGGGGCCCGGCGAGCAGCGGTAGTCGGGCGCGCTCAGACGCGGCTTCAGCGTCACCGCCAGCCGATGCCGGCTGCGCGTCTCGCGCAGGTTGTAGGAGGCGGCGTTGGCGGCGTCGGCGGGCGCCGCGCGCTCGGCGGGCCGGCCGACCAGCAGGTGCGCGGGCGCGGCTGGCCGGTGGGCGTTCAGCTCGGGCAGCTGGTAGTTGGCCGGCCCCGGGGTGGGCGCGCACAGCGCGGTCAGCGGCCTGCCGCCCGGCGCCGGTATAAACTCGCCCATGGCGTCACGGCGGCCGGCCGGCGCCGCCTCCGACTCGGCACCCATAGCGGCGCACCAGTCCGACCTGGGCCTGCTAATGTGCTCGCATTATGATGAATTGCGATTAGCTTAGTTTCTTGTTTCAGCTGATTAACGTAAATTTTCACTTATGATGCAGGCTGCCCTGTATTGTCTATGTGTGATTGCACCCACCCCTTTACCCCACCCCTTAAAAACACAATCGAAACCAACCCGCTACAGCTCCATTGAAACTCTGCTAGGGTCACTAGGTAACTGAAATTTGCAGGTAATTATCGGTAATTATAGGTGATTTCTGCAGGTAGCAAAGTGTTGTCACCGTGGTGTTGTCATCTCAAATAATTCCGTGCTACATTATCCAAGCATCCTCTGCCGCGAAAATAGCGTAGGTACCTGCGTAGATAGCGTAGGTTTTTTGCACTTCCAAGTTCCAAGCCATGTTCAGTAGGTAGGTATTTACATGTTTTATCTAAGGCAAGTGAACACAGCCGTATTCATTTTTACCGTGTCTATGGTTTTGTTTCGGCAGTGACGAGGGAGGATGCGGGCAAGTACAGCATTCGGGCGACGAACGCCGCCGGCGAGGCGACCTCGATCGCTGACCTGGTGGTGACGGACCAGGTGCCGCTGCTGGTGGAGCGCCGGCTCACCACGCAGAACCTCACTGAGAAGGAGGTGGGTCCGCCGGTCCAGGCCCCGCGCGGAGACGGCCGCCCCGTCCCCTGTCGTCTCGGTCCGTCCCAGTCCGCTCCCGTATCCTCCCCGTCCCCATGCACTCCGTCAGTGTCACATGTTCCATCTTCCGTCTCCCGTTTTTAGCCTCGACCCTGTCACCTTTTCTGTCGCGTTCTTTCGCCTGTCGTAATTTCCTCTCTGCGCCATTGCTTTTCTTAGTGTACGGAATTTTGAGTGCGAGTATGGTGTATGGTATGGTTTGGGGATGGTCGGTCATATGGTGAGGGGTCTTCTTACGCGTTTTTTATCCACCATGGGCTCTGTGTTGCATTGTCCTGGTGTCTCAGAATGCTGATGAGTGAGGACTTACTGGGTTGGTGGTGGCCTGTCTTTCTGTGTGGTAAACATTGCAGCAGGTATATGCACAGGTCTGTGTGGGCATTCTGGAGTCACTCTCGCCACTGATATAGGCCCGATTTCAAGTTATTTGAGCCCGTGCACCTGCCTGCGCACTGTCTGGGTGGGGTGGCAGCACCGGTGACGGTCTGTTGTCTGTTAATCACCTGCACCGTCACCACCCTGTATAAAGCACCACACTGTGTTCCAGAACTTCACTTTCACGAGGAAGTGGCGAAAGTAGCCGGGCCGGCGCCTCAGCTGGCTCGGCTATGGCCACACCAGAGTCCCGCCGCGCCTCCCCAAAGCCGCCGTGGCTGTGCTAACTGTTCATATTCTGCTCCCCCTAGTATAAGGCGACGCTTGGGCAGAGCAGTGTGGCCTGCGAGACGGCGCCGGCCGCCCCTGAGCCATCCGCGCCTGCCCCGGCCGCCGCTCCTGCCGCGCCTGCCGCCGCCACTGCTCCCGCTGCTCCTGCCGCCGCGCCGGCCGGCGAGCTGAGTCGCCTGGAGACGCGCTCCCGACACGAGCTGCAGCAGCACAAGGAGCTGCGGATGACCACGGGCGGTGTGTCGGTGGACCTGGCGGACGCCGGCCGGCCCGAGCCGCCCATCGCCAGGCAGGTGATCCCGCAGACGGACGACGCCCAGAGCGACGCCACCAGGCAGAGCCAGCTGACGCGCCTCTCGGAGATCGCCGAGATTCCCGAGCCGCCGCCGGCGCGCCGCAGCGTCAGCGAGCTGAGGAAACTCGCCGAGGAGAAGATCAGGGAGGGCGAGACCGTGCAGGAGAAGGTGACCAAGACCACCGTCAACCGAGAGCCCAGGATCCCCGAGCTGACCGCGACACCGCCGCCCGTGCAGCCGCCGCCACCGACTGCCGTGAAAACCACCACCACGTCCCACGAGGTGAAGTCCCACACCCTCCGGCAGACCACCGAGACCTCGGTAAAGCAGCCGCCGCCGCCGGCGAAGGAGCCCCCGAGGCCGGCCCCGAAGCCGGCGGTGCCGCCGCCGTCCGCCGCTGCCGTCCCGGCGCCCCAGCAGCCGGCGCCGCCGGCCGTCCGGTCGCCGGTGTACGGACGGACCGCCAGCGAAGCCGCGCTCACAGCCGAGCAGCTGGCCGTGGGCCGGGCGGCGCCCGCGGCCGCGGCCGCCCCGGCGCCACAGGTCCACAGCGGAGCCAGCCTGTACAGGTTCCCGAAACCGGCTCCCGTGCAAACTCCAGCCCCAGCTCCTGCTCCTGTCCCGGCCCCGGCCCCAGCTCCAGCCCCAGCCCCAGCCCTAGCTCCAGCCCCAGCCCCGGCTCCAGCTCCAGCCCCAGCCCCAGCCCTGGCTCCAGCTCCTGCTCCTGTCCTAGCTCCTGTTCCAGCCCCAGCACCTGCGCCACTGACGTACGTATCCCACGCGGCTGCGGCCCACCAGCCGTACAAACCGCCGGTCCCGGCCCCAGCGACGGTCACCAGCGAGATAAGGACGAGCAGCGAGCAGCGCGTGACGAGCGAGCAGCGCGTCACGAGTGAGCACCGAGTCACGAGCGAGCAGCGCGTCACGAGTAGAGAGGAGCGCGCCGGCTCCGCCACCGAGCCCGGCGAGCCGCGCCGCCAGCCCGGCGAGCGGCTCAACAGCATCAAACGCAAGCTCGAGTCTCAGATCTCGGAGGTGGAGACGAACGGCTCGACGGCCGAGCTGCGCGGCGGCGTATGTGTGCTGCCGACGCGGCCGGCCGAGCCGGACCGGCCGGTACCGCCGGCTGCTGCTCCCCGGCCGGTACCTCCGGCGGCGGCTGCGGCTCCGCGGCCGGCGCCTCGGCCCCAGTCGGCCGCCGCCGAGCCGTTCCAGCGGTTTCCCGAGCTGGAGCCGTTCCCGTACGAGCCGGAGCGGCCGCGGCCGGCCTCGGCCCGCGCCACCCGACCGCCGCCCACCCCCACCCGCTTCGTACCGGGCAAGTTCGGCGAGAGCGACCACGAGAGCGACTATGACGAGCGCATCCCGACCCGCTGGCAGGCCGACGGTTATGAGTACATCGACCGGCGCGAGATCCAGGTGAGCCTGCCGGCGGCGGCGCCGCGGCCGGCCGACGCCGCCAAGCCGCCCACGCCGCCGTCCCAGTTCGACACGCCGCCGCAGATTGAGCTGCCGCCGCGGCCCAAACTGGACGCGCCGCCGGCCGCTGAGCCGCCGCGCGACCCGACGCCCGACCGGCCGCGCTTCACCAAGAAGGCGCCCGTCGAAACGCCGTGGGTGCCCACCAAGCGGCCAGTGGCGGCGGCGCCGGCCGGCCCGGCCCCGGCGGCGGCGGCGGCGCGGCCGCAGTGGCCGCCGGTGGAGCAGCCGGACGGCGGTCCGGCGGCGCGGCGCGCCTCCCAGAGCTCGGAGCCGGAGCAGCCGCAGTACCGGAGACCGGGCTGGCCGCCGGCGCCGGCCCCCGTCCAGCCTGCCGCCGCGCACACCAGCACAACGCAGCAGCAGGCCGCCTGGAGCCAGCGACGGACGGTCGAGACGAGTACAGTCCCGGCGCCGCCGCAGCCCAGAGTCGGCGTGCCCCACAGCCCCGTGGGACCGGTGTCCCCCGGACCAGCACCGTTCGTCCCGCCGGCGGCTCAGCCCAGGGTCGGTGTGCCCCAGAGTCCTGTCGGACCGATGTCGCCCGGGCCGGTGCCTTTCTCTCAGCCGGCGCCGCAGCCGCGCGCTGGCGTCCCCCAGAGTCCGGTGGGTCAGGGACCAGTGCCGTTCGGCCAGCAGAGCACCGGCTACAGCCGCCTCGAGAAGCGAGTCGAGAGCTCGTCGTGCGAGCGCCGCGCCGGTCCGGCCGGGGTCCGCCTCGCATCGCCCGTGTCCCCGCGGCCGGCGGCGGCGCGCGGCCTGTCCCCGCGCCCCTCGGCAGAGGCCGTCACCATGCAGAAAATGTGGTCCACCAAAAAGTCGGAGAAGCTCTCCAAGATCTGGCCGCCGCCGGCGCAGGAAGACGACCGGCCGGCGGGCCCCGTGTGGACGCAGGACGAGCGCGACCGGCCCTCGTCGGCACTCAGTCTGGGCAGCAATGTGGAGGAGCGAGCCTACGAGAGCGCCGGCTACACATCCGACTTTGCCGGGTACGCCTCGGAGCCGGAGCTGGCGGCGCTGGCCGCCCGCCGGCCCGACCCGTACATCCAGCAGAAGGTGCTGCCGCAGCCGCAGCCGCAGCAGGTACAGCAGTACCAGCAGCAGCAATACCAGCAGCAGCAGCAGTACCAGCAGCAGAGCAGGACCGTGTGGCAGCAGCAGCAGCAGAGCACTGTGCGTCAGGTCACTCAGCAGCAGACTGCGGTCGGGGCCCGGCCGGCGCAGACCGTGTTCCGACCGGTGCGGCCGTCGCCGTCCCCGCAGCGCCAGCTCGGCCCGGCGGCCGCTGCGTCGACGGCCACGTCTGTGACCAGTTTCAGCAGCCGCCAGGAGTTCCACAGCAGCCGCCAGGTGGTGCGGCAGCAGGCGCCGGCGCCGGGCGCGCCGCGGATGCCCGGCGCCGTGGGCGTGGTGCCGCACCAGTCGCCGCGGCCCGCCCGGCCGATCCGGCCCAAGTCGCCGCTGGTGCTGAGGGCGGCGCCGCCCGCCCGGCCGCCGTCCGCGCCCGCCCCGGCCACGGCCGCGCCGGCCGCCGCCGCCGCCCGGCCCGCCACCAGCACGCCCACGTCGGCCGCGTTCGAGCCGTTCCCGACGCTGCCGCCGTTCCCGTACCGCGCCGAGGAGCCGCGCGCGCGGCCGCCGCGCGGTCCGCCGCCGCGCATGCCCAGCAAGTTCCAGAAGGGAGAGATGCGCGAGTCTGACTACGAGTCTGACTACGAGGGCCGCATCCCGGCGCGCTGGCGTCCGCAGGACAGCGGCGACGAGGAGCCGCAGTACCGGGCCGTGCGCGCGCCGCAGCCGTCCCCGGCCGCCGCCGCCGCCGCCGAGGAGAGCTCGGACGTGATGGGCATTCCGCTGGCGCGGCCGGCGCCGCCCGTCACGCCGCCGCGCTCGCCGCCGCCGCGCCGCTCGCCGCCGGCGGTGCGCCGCTCGCCGCCGCGGCCGGCGCGCGAGCCCGACTCAGGCTACACAGCCGACGCCGAGAACACCATCCGCCGCCAGCGGACGTCGCTGTACTCGGAGACGGCCGACGCGACGTTCCAGTCCCAGCGGCCGGCCGACGGCGATGAGCCGCGGTCCGAGTCGCCGCTCTCCGTGTCCAGCTTCCCGGAGCAGGGCAGCGACGCGGCGCCGCCGGTGCGTCAGGTTCGGCCGCTCTCTCTGCTCGCTAGGTATCTGTCCTGTCTGTCCGATTGCTGACTCACACTGTGGCTCACAGCCCCGAGCTTTCCTGCGCCGCTGGTTTTGCAGCATCCGGCCGACACAGCCGTGGCCGCCGGACGCACTGACGCTGAGTTCGCATGGCTTCCCCCGCCGCCGAGTGCTCTCTGTATCCAGGCTAGAGCTTTGGAGTGACTACCCACCGAGTGTGCATGAGTCAATGTCGGTTGTCTGAGTGCGCCTGATCAACCACCGTTAATCTGCGCCAAAACCTAACTGAATTCATCACAGGCTGCGCTGAACGTGGTGTGACCTTTGTTTAGCTTTGGTTGTCTTTTTTAGAATCTCACAATAGATGCCATTTAGTGTTCATAGAATCCTAGTCGAGACTGCCCATGACTTATTAACTGAAGGCACGTGCTCTAACCCTTTTATCGCAACTCATAGGAAGGAGCCGAAATTAGTGTACCCGTATCCATTGTAAAAGCTCATGCCATTGTAAAGTAACGATATAAAGCAATGAGCTCTGGACTCATACGCTGTTAGAGCGCTTCTTTGGCTACGTTTGCCTTAACTGACGGTAGAAGTTCAAACCAATAGATATAGAGTAGAAGCACGGTGCTGTTTAAGTTTAGAAAATGTTTCCGCTATTGTATTCCCAACTACGTCAGCCGTTTACCGCTTGATTTGTGTTTTTGCGTTATCTCAACGATTTTGATGGCTCGCTTACAGTGCGAGCTCTCACTCGTAAACAAGCTATCGTTGCCATCCACATATGATCCCGACTGGATGGTCCGGTGAGAGGCCCGCGCCGCTCAGAGGATGTGACTGTGTGTCTGTCTGTGTGTGTCTGCTGCAGAAGGATGGTGTCGCGGCTGACTCGGCTCTGGAGGCGGCGGCACTAGACTCGGCCGTGGCTCCGCTGGCTCACTGGCCGGCGCCGCGGCCCGCTGAGCCAGCTGGAGCTCAGCAGCTCACCCAGCTGAGCCAGCAGCAGCAGCGCACCTGCCGGACCAGTGACGTCACCGACCATCGGTCCAGTGACGTCACCGGGCCGGCCGGCAGAGCCGCGAACGGACAGCCGGCTCCGCCGCCGTCCGTGTTCAGACAGCTTAACGCCAGTGAAAGTATTCAGCGGATCAGCGAGCAGCTCCAGCAGACAGCGAGGCCGCCGTCCCCACCGCGGCAGGTCAAAACACAAACCAAAACCACCACGGAGAGCCTCAGCCGGCAGGTCAGGACGTCTGTCAGCACCTCTGAGAGCGCGGTGAAAATCGCCGATACCCCCGCTCCGCCTCCCCCTGCCCAGACCTTCTACAGCGCTACCACCTCGACCACATCCAGCCGGAGGGAAAACGGCCTGGGACAGACCCCCCAGACCAACGGAACGTCCGGTACACAGATCAGCAGAGCGAGAACGGAACAGAAGTCATCTGTGAGTAACCAGAGATCCCAATCCAGCTCGCAGACGAGCTCCAAGATGACATCCCAAATGACCTCTCAGATGTCCTCCCAAATGACATCTCGTTTGACCTCACAAACAACCACACAAATGAGCTCCCAAATGAGCTCTCACCAATCAATAAACCAGTCGTCTCAGCAGCCCCAGAGACTTTCTCAGCAGACTTCCGAGCAGAGTTCCAAGCAGAGCTATCAACAGACCTCTCAGCAAAGCTCCCAGCAGAGCTCTGAGCAGAAATCCCTGCAGAGCTCCCAGCAGAGCTCCCAGCTGAGCTCCCAGCCGGCGGCGCAGGGCCCCGGCCGGGCGGCCGTCGCCCCCTCGCCGCCAGTGCCGTCCAAGTTCGTCCGCGGCGAGATGCGTGAGTCCGACTACGAGAGTGACCTGGAGGGCGGCATCGCGGCGCGCTGGCAGCCCGGCGCGGCGCGGGCGGGCGGCGCCGGCGCGCCAGGCTACCGGCGGGTGGAGTACCGCGCCGGCAGCGCCGGGCCCGCCGCCGCCGGCCGCGCCCGCTCGCCCACGCCGCCGTCCCGGTTCGAGTCGCCGGCGGCGGCCCGGTCCCAGCCGGCTCCGGGCGCGCTCCAGACGGAGCCCGACTGTGAGTCGGCGCCGTCCGCGGCGGGCTCCGTGCGGCAGACGACCAGCACGAGCAGCCAGCTGAGCCGGCGGACCGTCACCGAGCGGCGCGAGACCACCACCGCCACCCGGGTACGTGGCCGGCGCCCACAGCAGCTCTGAGCGGACAGAGATACGTGCTGATTTGTTATTTCTTAAACGTGCTGTCGATTTGTAATGATCGTGACACATGTACCCCTGATTAAAGGGCAGAATGTCATAGTCATTCCAACGTTTTCAGATTCCCTCGCCAACGCCTCCGCCGCCCCCATCGACGACCTCCAGCCAGCTGGTCCAAGAGGTCCAGCGGCAGCAGCTGCTGCAACAGAAGCAGCAACAGCAGCAGCAGCAGCAGCGGAGCGCGGCGGGGAGCCAGCACACCGACGCGACTGGTGAGTGTGATTCCCGCACCTGTCCAGTCGTTCTAAGCCGTATACTCGTAGTCCTTCAAGTGGTTGCATGGCTTCCTGAGCAGGATCATTAACGTCGCTCAGAGCAATGAATTAACGAAGATGGCATTGTGCTTCCTGTTAGATCCTTTGGCAACAGAATTAATCATTGTGGCTTGCTTGTTATTGCATGCGTTTGGTGTCGATTGCCTAACTCGCATCCCTTTTGTCTGTCTTCCAGAGACTCTGTCCCGGCAGTTCAGCGAGATGCGCGACACGTTCAGCTCCAAGGTGCAGAGGCTATCCAAGGAGGTGCAGTCGGGGCGCGCCGCCCCCGCCCCCGCCCCCGCCCCCGCCCCCGCCCCCGCCCCCGCCGTGACGGCAGGGCAGGGCGGCGCCGGCCAGCCACCGACCGTCAACGGCCGGCCGATGTCGTACCGCAACGAGGACCGTGCCCGCGACTGCGGTGAGTGCATTGACCGGCCCGGGACTGTGGTAGGTGAGCAGATCGGTCCGGCGCACTGCGGTAAGGGTATATGGTGTCTGTGTGACTGCGGTAAATGAACGGGGCGACCCGGTACTGCGGTGAGTGAACAGGCCTGCCAGGGGACTGAGGTGCCAGGATGGGCCTCCGTGAAACTGGTGAGTGGGTAGGTCGGCCCGGGACTGCGGCTGATGAATGGGGCAACTGTAAGTGATAGGGTGAGCGATAGGGCGCTCGGTGTCTTACCGGAGGAAAGGACTGTGGCGAGTGGATAGGCCGGTCTGGGGACGGGTAACGCGGGCGCTGACCGGCACAAATTCCACTCGGGGAACCCTACCAAAGCATACCGTGGAAACCCGAAGACGTGCTGTGAGACACTCCTTTGGTTGTGTTTTCGATTGCAGGGTTAGATGTATTTTAAATGGGAGGGATAAAGTTTAGTTGAGCTAAAGTCTTACGAGATTCGGCCCCCAACCCTCGGGTCCAGCCAGCTTCAATCTTACGTCGTACACGTCTGCTGTAGTCAAGGACATGGATAGCATTTCAATGGCGTTGCGAACTTCTAGGCACGAAGCACATCGACCAGGACACCGGTCTGATCTACTTCAAGTACGACTTCGGGTACGAGTTCGGCGTCATTCTGCCGGGCGAGAGGCCTCCGACCGTCAACATCGACCCGTCGGCGGCGGCGCGGCCGGGCCCGCCGGCGGCCGAGTCGGGCCGGCCGGCCGCCTCCACGCCCGCGCCGCCCGCTCAGGAGCTGGACCGGGCGCAGCTCAGCGAACTCGTCACCGCCGGACGGCTGCGGCCCGAGAGCGCGTTCGGCACGCGCACGCCGCCCAACGCGTTCGTCGACTACCCGGCGACGGACGGCGAGCGGTCTGAGGGCGAGGAGAGTCGGCCGGGCAGCCGGCCGGGCAGTCGGCCGGCGCCGCGCGGCATCCTGCGCCGGCCGGCGCCCCTGGTGCCGCCCGCTCCAGTCGGCAGTGAGTGGTGCACGGGGCTCGGACCCGCCCACCGGCCCGGCCCGGGTGTGCGGTGCAGCACGGACGGACGCATGGGTCTAACGAGAGTCGAATAATGAGCCGGAGAGACGCGGCGACGACATGCCGTGAGACCGACCACGGAACGAGCACGATACAACGGCATGGGCCCAACGTGTCCGCATGACCATGTGATTGTTCTGTGTATCTGTTGTATGCTGTTTTGTCATATTTTATTAAGCTTGATTTTACATCCAAATATGTTATGTTGTTATTCTTTTCATTTTGAAATGTTCCATTATTCGTACGTCCTTTGCCAGCATGACTTACCTTGTCATGACATGTCTCGTTGTCTCAGGTGATGAAGTACTAACTTATCAGCATGTAGATCTAATGGTGTGTAATCTGAGACCATATGTTATAGATGATGAAGTTAAACACGACGTTGATTCCAACGGTATCCCAGCCGACAGTCACCCGATCCACACTTAAATTACAACCATGCGCAGCCCATCGACCGGCACAGCTATTCGTATCGCTGCTAACGATCACATCTACCCGTCTCAGTGTGCGACCTATGTTACTGGCCATCCCGCATTCCCTTTGACACAGTTGACCCATGCCCTCCCCTCACCATCCACCCGGTGTGCCAGTCTCTGACAGCGCCTCCCCGCCCGCCGCAGACGGCGCGCCGCAGCCGCCCGTTCTGCTGAAGCCGCTCTCGGCCGTGTACGTGGTGCGCGGCGCGCCGTTCGAGCTGCGCTGTCTGGTGGAGGCGGCGCCCGGCCTGCGCGTGGCCTGGACCAAGGACGGCCGGCCGGTGGGCGCCGGTCCCGGCTCGCCGTACCGCACCGACTCGGCCGGCGGCCTGTGCCGACTCTCCGTCCGCGAGGCGTTCGCAGGTGAGACTCCTGTGGGACTGGCTGGCTCATGGAGCTAATATCCCACCGAATAAATGTATCGCTCAAGATTTGCTGTCGCCGTTGTCCATAAAGCACCGCCTACGTCGCCGACCATGCGCGCGTCGGACCGCCTGTCGGCATTCCACTCCTCTATATGTCTGACCGTGTGCCATCTGCCCGCAGAGGACGCTGGTGTGTACCGGTGCGTCTGCACTGGAGAGCAGGGCTGCGTGACGTCAGAGGCGGTGGTGACCGTGTCCGGTGAGCCCTGAGGAGCCACCGCACCGCGCCGCACCGCACCGCACTGTGCCATACAACACCGCTCTGCACCGTGTCATAGAGCACCGCGCCGCACTGTGCCCAACACTACTGCACCGCGGCGCAGCGCACTCGGTGGATGGGTTCTGGTCAGTACTGCACTGCACTGCACTGATCCGCACTACACTGCACCCGGGGTGCTCCCTCAGCGCCGATAACTGCACTGCCCGATTTGAGAACCACTGGGGTGTATTTGTGCCTTTGCTGTTAGCGAGGAGCCGTACAGAAGATGATATGTTAGGAGACTGGGGAGGTGGAACAGGGTCGTCGGGTGGCCTGTCCCTGTCGTCTGTGAAGTCCAGTCGTGCCAGGTACTGCTCCGTGACCGCGGTCAGGTCAGTTATACGTACCGAGTTGCTGGGTGTTCAGGGGGTGGTGAGAGGAGCGGACTGCCCGCCGCCGCCTGGGGTTCGCCGCGCTGCTAGTCACTGTTGGGCGTGTCGCCGCCGTTTGTACCGAGCTATGTGTGGTGTGTCCCGTCCGCCGGTCAGTAAGGCTCTGCTGGGGCCACCCTGTCTGCCCGTCTCCGCTTTGCTGCTCGTCCCTCGCCTATGGGCAGCTAGATCATGGATGTAAATATATGACGCGTTCTCTTGTTTGTGTGTGGACTGTTGTGTGAATAGTGCCGCCCCTGCGCACAGTGGGCCCGTGTTTGCTCCTGGCGTCACCCACTATAAGCTCTGTAGAATGTTGTTGGTAGACGAAGGATATATTATATACGTGACATGTCAGTTACTAATAAAGCTGCAACTAGCTGGCGAGATCTTAGTGAGGCCCGTGTTGATAAATACGACGACTGCAATAGCAATACACCGTCTCTGATCAGCACTGGTTCCGACTAAAGTCACGGAGGATCCCCGGTTGAGCTAACAACTCAGACAAGTACTCGATCAGCTGCGCATTCAGCAAGAAAAAAAACTTTTACCACCTCTGCCACTGTGATAGAGTGTTGTGTAACACGTGAATATATCCACAATCAACTATTTTAGTGCCTCTATATAACATTTATAACAAGCATCCATTTCCTGTGTTTCAGGCGTCCCGCATCCACGCACATCCTTTCCTCGAGAATGTCAATCCGGCTGGACTACCTATTTCCACCCTGGATCACGGGATTCTCGGCCGCCCACCGATTCTCGTTCGGCCGCGAGTGGGACGGAGAGCGTCGGCCCGCCGCTGCGGACCGTGAGTGTGCGGCGGGTCCGGTACTTCTGCCGGAGCGTCCTGTGCCGTCCGCAGCCGCTGCCTGGCCGCTCCAGCCGCCCGACTCCTGTCCTGGAAATTCCTCCGAAACACACAGAGACAACATTAGTGGTAAGTGAGCGGATTTGGTACAGTAGATGCTAGCAGGCTAATCGTTTCGGATAGGGCTTTTTGTGACATCGTTCAAATGGTTGTAACATCAGTTTTGTTTGTTTGTTTGTTCCTTTTGTTGGGTTAGGCCCTTTCGGTCCATTGAGACCATTGCAGAACCGGGAGGACGATAAGAAATAGAGGAGAGACATTGGACTGGGCAGGCACCCTAGAGTCACCGGGGCTGAGCCCGTCCCAAACCCAATGAATAGGCCGACCAGCCCCCAAGTACTCTCTGCACCCGGCTATGGGTGTGCTCCCTACAGAGCAGCGGTGCCGCTCCAAGGGAGCAGCCCGTTTGAGATCAAATTGCCTGTCCAACCCGGAGTGGGGGTTGCGGCGTGGAGGAGAGGGATTTCAGTATCCTGAGGATGAAAACGACGGACGGGTGAACATCAGCTGGTGCACACGAACCCTGCTCCCTCTCGTATACCTACTCGTATATATCGGTTTGTTCACCCCGTTCCGGCTCGGATCTCGGCGTTCCGTATTCGGCGGCTGTGCGACGGTATTCTGAGGTATCACTAGTGCCTGCTCCCGTCGGTAGATGCCGGTGAAGAGCCCGTCTGGCCGCGGCGCGCCCCTCCGTGGGCGTTGTGGTATTTATTTTTACCCGGTTCAGTGTTTTGGTAGCAGCGGCTGCCAGCTGGTGGCCCGGCCCCCGCCGGTGACTCACCATGTCTGCTCTGACCGGCGAGCCGCCGCCCGCCCGGCCCCGCACCCGACCGAGATCGGCTGCTCCGTGTGTAAAAATACCCCAGCGCATCAGACTGTTCGCAGCAACGGGTGCATCGTTTTCATTACTTTCTAGACACAAAGTGGGGCCATTGAGCAATGTCACATGGACATCGGTGCATCATTTCAACTGGTTTGCACAGCAATGGTAGATCGTTTGATTTATTTTCGGTTTTGCTTATGGCAGCGTCGAATGCCAGTGTTTGTCCGACACAGATTTCAGACGACACATCGTGCTCTGCCTCGCATCATCGGACAAATCATCGACACCTGGGTCGCCCCGCTCTGACTCCTGGGTCGCCCCTCTCTGACTCCCGAGTCACCCGCCGTCGGTGCGTCTGGCGCTGTGTCCGTCTGTCAGAGCCGGAGTCCTTCCGTCTGGGGCGCGCCGACGGCCGGCCGGCCGCCGCCCGTCTGACCGGGCCATGTCATCCGGGCAGCAGTCGACGGACAGACGTGACTCAGTCGGCCCGAGAGCCAGCGCCGAGTCGGAGGCCGCCGAGTCACGGGCCGCCGAGTCAGAGGCCGCCGCCGGCCAACCGTAACCGAGCCGTCTGCAATGCGGCCGGGGCGGTACACATACACCGAATCGGAGGAAGACGCAGATGGCCAGTGCTTTTAGCTCCGTTAATATAAATATAGCTTTATGCGATATTCCCGCGTCCATCTCAACCGGAATCGGTCATTAGACGATTTTGATGAAGCATATGTTTCATTGGCAGGTGTTTCATTCCTACCTAAAATGCTATGAAAAGCCGAGGCCTGCTCTAAGTTTGTCACGACCCCTCATTCGGTCTGGTTTGTGATCGTCTAAGCTGCATTCGAGTGTGCGCTGTCGTGTGGGTACTTCGTGAGGAGTCACGAAGTACCCACACGTAAGTTTCTACTTCACCGGCGGTTTGCAGATACTTATTTTTAGAGCAAGTCGTGCGGCCTGTCTTGCCGGTTGATTTTGCCTCTGTTATGGTTCGGAACTCGCGGTGACCAAACAGACTGTCCGCCGAGTCACTACACCCACACCCAGTCAGGGCCTACCTGTTAGACGTCACCTCGTGCGTGAATCGGGGGGCGACTTTCAGCGTCACAGGGCGGCACGAATGCTCGGGAGAATAGTCCGGTGACGTATCACTGACTCCAGTGACGTCCGACTGCTCCCGGTGACGTCACTGATCGCGGTGACAGTCGGCGGTGAGGCGGCTCGGCCGGGGAAGTGACTCAGCCGTCTGGGCGCTTCCCCGGCCGTCGCGTCGGACGCTTTAGGACGGTGGCCAAATGGAGCCGCCCAATCAGCGGCCGAGGACCGGGTGGGAGCAGCGGTCAGCCGTGGCTCGGGTGGCGCACGGGCGCACAACACACAACAGAGCCGGCCCAGGCTGCGCTATACTGCAGCACAGCGGCTCAGCTAACAGACCGCAGGACCGTACGTTGAAAATAGGATTCACCTCCCTGACAATGGGACTAGGGCGCTCGCCGCCCACCTGCCCTGCATTTCCCACTGATCACTGAACATCGCTCTAGCCACGGAGGGACCCAGCGTTCCAGGGAACCAGCCTGACGATGGCAGGGGAACATTAAAGGGAATCTGGGGCGGATGCAGGATGGACAGATAGAGGACAGGAGAGCCGCAGTGAGGGCCGCGCTGATTCAGAGCTCGAGGTCCGGCCGCCGCGCCGTCCGTGTGCCGAATACAGCGGTACCGTATGTACACGGCTCCGGAGCCAGGGTAAACAGCTGGCGGTACCGGCCCGCTGCACCGCCCCCGCCCCCGCCCCCGCCCCCGCCCCCGCCCCCGCCGCCGCTCCAGGGCGGCAGGCTGCCAGCGCCGCTGGAGGAGAACGGGAGCAGCGGCAACAGTGGCGGACATTGTAGCACGGCGGCCATACCCGACTCCACTGTAGGGGCTCAGACTCTGAAATAGCCGACAGAAAGGGTAACATTTTAACCATCGATAAATGCACTGCTGGTAAACTTGAAAGAGCAAAAGTTATTGTTTTGTTTTGTTTTTTCGTTGAATGCTAAATGGGCAGTCGAAAATACACATGCGCGTTTTTTAGGCTTGTCCCTCCGTACTGCACAAGTCATTTGCCATCTGGGATCAATTGCGAAACCCCGTCTCAGCTGATGGATCCGCCTCAGCCGTTCCGGGTGCACCATATGGCGGCGGGCCGCCGACCCTTCCCGCTCACATTAGCTGCCCTCTTTCTGTTCACTGATCAAAGGTGAGCTGCCAATCACTCTGGTCAGAGGGTATCAAGCCTCAGGCTGTCGAGGTCACCGGCCGAGGTCGCAGCTCGGGTGCACGTGTTTTCGAGGAGCCGGTGTGGCCACACAGTTGATAAGGCGCTCTTCAGACGATGATTAGGTACTGTCTTTTGCACTGTTAAGCTAGTGAGATTTCCTAAATGGGCTGAGCAGTGAGCACTGAAGGAGCTATCATGTCCTGAAACTCATCACAAAGCCTAGAGGGGCCACCCCAGGACCGTATAAGAAGCTGACGGTTTGGGCCGCCTGATTAGAATCAGCCTGCATCGATCGCTGAATAATGCTGATCGTGTATCTAATTACATCGCCTAGAAGAGCAGCCAGCACATCGAAGGCCACCATTCATTCATTCGCCGCTCCCTGAGCCGCCTGAGCCGGGCTCGCGTCTTGCGGCACAGCGTGAGTCCAGGCGCTGTACTACTAACGCCATCTAGGGAGAAGAACGGCTTCTCGTGGCCCATTCGATGTGGCACGGTTTTCATGGTGCCGAAAAGCAGGGTCTCGGAGTCGTGGTAGCCCTGTTCCGACTCCGACTCCGACTCTGGGGTCCTGACCGACTCTGACTCCGACTCCGGGTCTGATACGAAGCATTGAAAACGACACT